GTGTGGGCAAGTGAGGGCATATGCCCCTCCCCCCTGGAATTTGCTTCAGAGTTAAATACTCTGAGACCCAATCCTTGATCCTGCACAACCTGTAAACCCAACATGCCCCCCCTGGATTTTGCTATATGGGCGGTCATGGTGCTATTTGTCACAATGTAAAAAAATGGATGAGCACCGTCCCTGGAATGGTGATAACTGATTGTCACTGATTGACTTTTCAGACAGAAGAACTAAAAAATAATTTTGAGATATTTGGTACTCAATTTCTTAGGCGTACAATGAACAAAATATTCATTTATATGATATGCTTATACAGAATACGTTTCACTTTTTTATCAGGTATACCGTCTGTATCAGCTAAGTTAATTTCTGAAACATATCCTGCGGTTGTCTCTCTGATTCATAGAGGTTTAGTTGGATATTGAATACAACCATATATCTTAAATTCGTGACGTATTGTTGCATTTTACATAACTATTCATAGCATTAAATTATTCTTCTTCTTATCCAGTAGTTCTTGATAATTGTAATTTAAGCCTGCATAACCATTCTATAAGAGTTACATACTTTCCAAAATACAAAAAAATCATATCGTATTTGAAATTTTCCGAAAACTGAAAAACGCCGACATGCCCACAAAGCTCTTAAGAACGCAGGTGAATACTCTTTCCAACAAAACCAAGATCATGAAAATTGGTGCAGCCAAACAGAAGTTATGTGACTTTTTCTGATATGATAGGATGGTCAGAAACAAGATCTTATGTCTTTCTCGCGGTACAACTATTTGGAAAACACATTTCTCAATATTCCAGGAACCTATCACAACGTCAACCTGCACATGCTCCGTCTGAAACTTGAAATGTTTGGTATTTCTCAAAATTTTTGTTCCGTGCTAGTAATTTTCGTGGTAAATTAGGTTCCTGGGCTTGTAAGTATTCCACAAGGCTCAATCCTCAGCCCTGTTTTGTTCAACATATTTTCCGCTTGTCCTTCAAATTAGTTGTCAATTGAACCAAGACGTAGGTGACACTTGCATTTACTCAGAGAACCGTCAACTTGCTCAATATATTTCAGCACTCGACTCGATGGTTTCTTCCAAAAAGCGATCCTTGAAAATGGCTTTTCCATACGATCAACAAACCGTCTGTTTGCTTTTTCTTACGATACAATATGACAATCCAAAATAATATTTTGTTAGGAGGAATTTCATTTAAGGTTGATAAGTGTGTGAAATACCTTGGTATTATTCTCGACGAAAACTCGGATGGAAACCATTTATACAACAGATAGTTTGGAGGCGCGAAAGGGCAATCAACTTCTTCAAAATGCTTGCGAAGTTTGGTGAGGTCCCGACCAAAAAAATAGCAATTATTTTCTAGTCCTTTTATATTAGTTCCATCCTTGATAACAGAACCACTTTTAATGGATCGGCCAAAATTCTACTTAAAACAAAAATAAGTTTACTAGACAGTGTCTTGGTGCTATGAGATCTTCACCAGTTGAACCCCGACGAGCAGAGCGTCCCATGCATCCATAGATACTCGACCAATACTGATTGTCCTCCGATATGCGCTGGTAGTCATTTTACAATTATCTTACACAATATTCCAGTAACTAGCCATCTTTAAGCTGTAGGATATTTCGAACTTCTAGATATAAACATTAAGCCCTCTTCGTATCGTATCTAATGCCACAAAATTTATATACTCAAGAGTATGGCCTTTAATATTGCTACTGGCTTTATTATACTAAGTGACATATAAATCCGAACACCCAGTTTAAATGGTTTTATTTTAATAAAATTTTGTATAAGTACTTAATGAAGCATAATAAGTAAATGATAAAAATTTCAAAATGATTGCACTGCTTTAAAGCCCTTTGACCTTTAATAATGTGTGGATGCACCCTGATGTGCTACACATTCTCCAACGCGCCTAGGCATGCTTCTGATCAGGTGGCCAATGTCCTCCTGTGGTATCTCATTCCAGGCAACCACCAACTCCTCTCGAAGTGCTTCTGGAGTCTGAGGAGGACGTTGCAAATTGAGCAATCTCCTACCCATCATATCCCACACGTGCTCAATTGGGGATAAGTCGGGAGGTCTTGGTGACCATGGTAACAATGTGACATCATTATGTTGAAAGAAGTCTATTGTGACTCTTGCAACATGTGGTCGGGCATTATCTTGTTGGAAAGTTGGATCTGCCAGGGTGTCAAGATAGGGTAAAAGATGGGGTTCTAGAACCTCCTGGATATAACGCTGCGCGTTCATGTTACCTCTGACGAAGATTAAAGGTGACCTGGAACCATAAGCTATAGCACTCCAAACCATAACTCCAACAGTGTGATGAACTTGTCTTTCAACAAAAAACTGTGGATTCCTCCTTTCACCACGTCGCCTTCTAAACCTGGCACGACCATCGTGCATGCCTAAACAAAATCGAGACTCGTCACTAAAGACAATACTGTTCCATTCCTGATCCCAGAGTGACCGTTGTCTGCACCACTCAAGGCGATTACGTCGGTGTTCCCGAGTTAATGGGAGGACCCAGTGTGGCCGGTATGAAAACAAGCCAAAACATCTCATTCGTCGGTAAACACTTCGCATGCCAATAGGTCTTCCGTGTTCTGCAAACCACTCATTTGCAATGGACCTGGTAGTGGAGAAACGGTCCCTTAAGGCCAATAATCTTAGGCGGCGATCTTCACGGTCTGTTGTTCTACGGCGGCGTCCAGTGCCCCTTGCTCTTTGCGTACGGCCTTCTCGAAGCCATGCCTGACAACACCTAACCACAGTGTCCACACTTCTTTCCACTCTAACTGCAATAGCCCGAAAAGAAAGTCCAGCTTCCCGAAGTCCCACTATACGGCCCCTATCAAACTCACTAAGTTGACGAAATCGTACAGGTCTCCGTACTCTAGGCATCGTAACCGATCGTAAAGGATGTCAAGAACCAAAATCCGCCAACGTTGATTCTTTACTGCGGCTGAAATATTTATTTTTAGAGCGTTAGTGAATTAAAAAAAAAGCAGTATAAAAATCGGAATGTCCAACTGATAAGGCTGAAAAGTTTTTCACTTGTTATTTACAGTAAGATAAATACATTCACCAACTTTTATTAAAATAAAACCATTTAAACTGGGTGTTCGGATTTATATGTCACTTAGTATATATATACGTACTTGCTGTAAATTCTACATTTTTTATTAGGATCGCAATGTTGTATTAGTTAGCTATATTATTGTAAATCTGCTTATGGTATTGCTAAGGATTATTGCTATAACGTGTGTCCTAGAAGTTTTGGCACAACATTCGTTGGCTTTAATTTTAACAAGGACAAAATAATATTCAGTTGCCTTTGGAAAACAAATTTCTTTAATTACTTTACTATCGGTTAACATTTACTTATTTTAAAGTTTTCGCCGTAAGATGTCGTGTAAATTAGAAATAAGAAAAAGTTGGTTGGGTGAGTACCTATAGCTGCAATCTGTCGAATACTCCAGAATGAAAACAATTCACGCAGAACCATTTATCTAACAATAGCGGAGTGCGAGCAGGGAATACCATGTCTGAATCTCCTAAAAAGTGGAAAATCACCTGCATTTATTGCACAGAGGTCAGATAAATAGGTGAGGAGTGCAAAAAATCAGGTTGGAATGTTAACACAGATCTTCTAAGTAGGTATACGATATCGTTGGAATTGAGGAGGAATGTTATATCGAAAGAGAGTGTCCCAAATACCCTCAAGCTTAACTCCTTCCTATACCAAGATATTGTCGTCAACTGAGGCAGGTACACTTTGCTAATGGAAAAATCATTATTTTAGATGACGACATTATTTCACTTTGAGTAATTCTGAAATGAACGACGGATTTTATACGCACAACGTAGAGGAATATCCTGACAATATTAGATACAAACATAAAGCGAAATTTGCAGATAAAATCCTTGTCTGGTGCGCAATTTCTAACAGGGGTGTATCCCAACCTTTTGTGGGAAGAGTGAGGAGAAGCGCTTTGAATAGTCAGAGCTATATTAATAACTGCCTTTCCAAATTGCTTCAGTTTGTCCACGACCATCATGATAATGACCATATCATGTTTTGGCCAGACCTAGCATCATGTCATTACTAAAGAGATACCCAAGACTGGTTTCCATAGCACATCCTTTGTTTCCAAAAACGATAATCATCCAAACTTGCCGCAGGCTTGCCCAATAGAGGATCTTTGGGCTTTACTGTCTAGGAAGCTTACTCGTGGACGCTGGGAAGCCCAAGATGACGAACAATTAAGACGGCGAATTTACGAAAAACTGACAGAAATTGATCTGAATTCCGTCCAGGACCTCATGACACATTCGAAAACAGTTGCGTCTGGTAGAGCAGAATGGGCCACTCCACATATTTCGATAGTATAGTTTAGTCAAGTATTGAGTTGTAATTTATGATAACCAGTTAGTGTTTAAAGAAATTTATTCATTAAAAGAAATCCGATAAATATTTTGTGCCAAAATTTTTAGGACGTAGGTTAGCTTATATTTATTGGTGAGAAATTAAATCATTCAATCTCATATTTTGATATAAATATGAGCTAGATAATTAAATAATGTGTATTTTCGATAGAAAATCGATTATCTTTATTTTTATGTCACTATTACCAATACCACTGAAAGTTATGGACAATAAATATTCTTGCCGGTTCATAAATTACCGGTAATTTGTGATTACTAGAATAATATCAACTGAGCATTACAGAATTTCTGATATTCATTTAAATGGGAAACTTTCTTTTGCTAATTTCAAAAACATATTCGTTGGAGGATTGTTGCGTTTCAAGATAAAGCTTTTCATTGAACAAATGCGATTTTGTATTGTAATTACTGTAACTGTAATTCTTTTGTATATAAACATTTTCATGCTTTTTATAACAACAGAAATATTGGACGTTTATGCTTGTAAACGCAATCTACAACATTGATATAGTTAGATTTTTTTCTAAAGATCATATCGAAGGACTTGAACGTGACGATTCTCAAGGTCAGAATTTTCGTGCTTTGGATGACTTATTAGACCACCTTACTGGATCGCTGTTACAGCCAGGTAACCAATTACATCATCTTGTGGTCATCAGAGTTATACAATGTGGAACAGCCAAATGGACTGCGGGATAAGTTATTTCCTAGACAAATCAGAAAACGAGGAAATTTTATAATCGCGAAAATTTCCGAAAATGAGATTTTCGGTTTGTGCGTGTATGTCTGTGGGCATGTCTGCTTTTCTTTGCGCTAATCCTTGACCCCTATAACTTTTGATAAAAAGTTTCAATACCAAGCCAAGGATGAAACAGGTTTGTAGCTGTGTCCTGTGGCGGCGGAGCTGGGAGCAAAAAGGAAGAAGTACAAATCGCTCAAATTTCGTTTTTTTGAGGTTTCAGAGGCTCATGATCATTTTCAGAACTTTTGTGGGGGTTTGGAGTTATACAGGGTGGAGAAGGATATACATATATCAATTTTTTGAAGTTAGTATATTGATAAACTTCCAATCACAGTAATTACACTCACCTGTTATATTTCACACATCATACAATTTGCCCTTAGAATGATCGAAACATTTTCAACACGCGTCTCTGGATATATCTGCGGCGCGCTCTAATTGATGGGTGTCCGTATTTCATAGTCGGTGGTGGCGACACTAATGCCGTGTGCCGTGGCTAGCGAGTGACAAAGTTAAACATAGCAACGTGGGTAGATGGTTGGTATTGACGGTATGTGCCTCCCTGAATGTGCCTCCATGACTGACTTGATCCATTTAATTCTTTTGTTATATATTATTTATTAGGAAGGCAGCAATAATTACAAGCGGGTATGGCCTACTGACAAACTCAGTGTGTTGAGCGCAAAGAGGTGATAACACTGACAAACGTCACCTACAAGCAGTCTGTGTTGCATGCTACATATTTAGTCCATACGATGAATACTCAGGAGGATCCTACACCTGAGGTCTACACTGAATGACTGCAATCGTGCTATGAATGAATAGACGTCGCTCGTTATCATTAAAAGGACGACCCGCCAATCAGCCAGAATACAAGATATTCTCAAGGCAATGACGACACAGGCTGAACTGAACATGTTTGCCTTCCATCTCACCCTCTCACTTCAGACAGATACACGTATTAAAATTATAACACTCTTCGTTTTTGCGTCTGGTGTGAAAATGTATTGCTTCTATTTTTTTGTTCGGAAATACGCACAAAACTAAAATAACAAATGTCTTTCATTTGGCTATTCCCAATTGTTTATCATATCATTTTTAATTAATGCTGAGCTTACTATGCTTGCTTGTGGTGTCCAATACCCCGCAAAAGGGCTTCAAGCTTCCATATTATGCAAACGGAACTAGACTAGTTTTACCAAAATCTTAGTGCTGATTATACAGGGTGTCCGCAAAGTTGGGGTTTTCCTTTTCAGAAACAACTACCCTTGAAATAGCAAAGGTAATGTGTAGTGAAACGAGGGCGACCAAGTAAAAAAAAAATAAAGGAAAAAGTACTCACTCTCCAGTCGACGAGAAGGGCTAAGTACGTCTCTGCCCGAAATCATACCGCTCCAACAGAAAATGAAATCAGCTGATGCGCTACCGAGCAGACGCAGAAACCACATCGATTCTCTTACATTTAATGGCACATCTTCTAACAAGGAAGGCAAAATGTTGCGTAAAAAGTCTAGGTATTGCATCCCGTCCAATCGATTTGGGAGAATAAATGGTCCAATGAGCATACCGTTCACCATGCCAGCCCAAACATTCACCGAAAATGTTTGTTGAAAATGTGCCCGACGGACAGCGTGCGGATTTTCTACTGACCAAACATGAGTGTTGCGAAAGTTATTCACCCCATTACGCGTGAACGTAGATTCGTCTGTCACCAATATGCACATCAAAAAGTCCGGATTATTGTCATGTTGATGCAACAACCACTCACAAAACCGCACTCTTGCTGGAAAATCGTCAGGTTGAAGGGCTTGTACACGTTGGACGTGAAACGGATACAGCCCCTCTTCACGCAGCGTTTGCCACACTTTAGTTTTTGATACTTGCACTTCTCTAGCCACGTCTCTAGTGCTTGTTGAGGGATTCTCGTCTACGCGATTACCTCTACACGCGTGACCGTAACCGTCGGTTGAAGGTTGCATACTGACCTGACACACTGACCCCGACCCAGTTCTGTCGTCGGGTTGAGCCAGTGACCTTGTACCAGTCGGTGATGTCGCGGCTACACGACGGTATTCAGATATTTTTGATGTTGCAGAGCCCTTTATCTCGGTTCCCTTAAGACATTGGTGTATATGGTACTAAGAAAAATTGCTTATGTTTTCAAGATCTACACGTCGTGTAAAGGAAAACCCCAACTTTGCGGACACCCTGTATAGTTCATTATGATGTATAAATGCAGAGATAAACAAAAACTGTCAGGATTCAAAATTGATCGTTCGCTGCAAATCTGTTAGGTGATTTAATTCAGGATGGTTTCGTCGCTGCGTAAAACATTAAAATGCTGCTCAAATATCGTTAAGGCCTGAAAAAAAAAATGTTACCGCTTTTGATTGTTACTTAATACAAGTAATCTTGTGCTAGCAAATGATAGATTGCTGATTTGGAATAACGAGTAAAATAATTTCACCCAAATATACTAGACGCTGTTCAGAGAAGGGCTGTCCTCCTGATCGATGGCACCTCTCTAATAGACCCCATGAACACCTATGCAAATCGTATGTTTTGTTTGTCATGCAAATAGTACAACTTGCTTGTTTTGTCATCAAGCAAGACGGCAGACTATACAGGGTGTTGGGGAAATAATATTCGTAACTTTAAGAGGTGATTCCTTGCATTATTCTAAGTAAAAAAGTTCATTATAACTTATGTCCGAAAATCAATCGTTTTCGAGAAAAGTGCGTCGCAAATATTTAAATTTTCTCAAACATTTGGCGACGCTGCAACGCAACCGCGATACGAGCCCACGACTACCGCAACTGATTCATCGAATTATTTACGTTTGTAAGTTGTTGAAAATATGCCTTGAATTATTGAATACTTTTACACAATTTTTTGTAGCTAATATTTTTTATTCAATAACGCTTTCAGTACGGTACATTTACTAAAAAAAATGACAGAACTTACCGGTACGCGGCGATACACACCACCAATTCCCACGATTATCAGTCACTTATTTGAAACGAAAAAAGAAAAAAACATCCATAAATCACATAAAGTTACAGTTAAATGTATTAGTAATCACAATAACACGCGATGATGCATGCAGTGCAGGCGGAATACGACGTTGCCAGTGTGAGGGATTTTGTTTGTCTGTTTTGTTTTTCTTCGGAAAATTGTATTTAATAAGCAAGAAAATTTTGTTAGAAACAGTTAATTAATAAATAGATGTATTGATACATTTAACGCTATTAGGCATATGAATTTATATTATTAAGGTGCAAAATTAATTTATTTCATGACTAAAAAGAAATAAGTTCGGCATTTTTTTGCCCCGAAACGGTTGATTTTCGGACATAGGTTATAATGAAATTTTTTTCTTAGAATAATGCAAGGAGTCACCTCTTAAAGTTACTAATATTATTATCCTAACACCCTGTATATGTCCACAGATAAGCCCTTCAAAACGGAAGATGGACGATAATTTATTAGCAGCTGCAAGGCGCGCATTAATTATAAAAAAAGAAAAAGAAACAACCAAATATCTGCTTCCGATTAGAAACGTAACGTAAAAAGGCTACGTAACACAGGGAGACCCTTCAAAATTAGTATTCAGGACATAGGGTAAAATGGTAGGAAGACTCAATATTACACAAAAAGAAGGAAGGTAAAGGAATTAGCCTGTATAAAATTGAAATGGTCTTTCTAGTTCTTATATGGACTGCGTTCCAATTTGGTTAAGTATCCTTGAAGAAGAAGATATGAACCGATGTGTTGCGTCAATAGATCTGAGCGGACTTTCGCACGACTTTCGGCATTTTCGGAGCGATGGAGTAGGGTGTCTGCTGCATTAAAAAAATGACAACCTCATGCTCGCTTGTCACTTTGGTGGGCTGGACGTCCTTTTTCGAACATAATACCTATCCCAGGCGGTCCTGGACTTTGTTGGTTTTGCTCAGTGCCATCTTAAAATTGCAATTATGGCTTCGCGCAATGTGGTAACATACTGTATGGAATGCTTAAATGAATGAAAAAACAAACAAACGAAGTTACACATGGAAGACAGATAAACAAAATATACTGTCAAGAATGTCAATTGTGTTCAGAAAAGGTCACCATTAGGACCGAAATGTGCTACAATAAAGTGGAATTTCTAACATATATACATGTGGTTTGATTCGGTCGAACAAACATGGGGAATTATTATCACGCGAACAAAACATTTCAGCTCAATTTGACTCACACATACAAATACATACTCACACTCTAACTAACAAACAGATCAAGACAGAAGTTAAATAGAAGCTTGTTATAATAAAAAGACTACCGGTGTAGCCGCAAGGCTTGTGGAATAATTCTTTCATCGTCTGTGTTAAGATTTACTCGCCAGGACAATACGATGAATCAAAGAGGCAACCACAGGTTTCACAAAACAATTCCGTCTAAAGTAATATTATGTGATATAATTGTGTACGTCATCTGTAGGGGTGAAGGACGCTTTCCTGCACACATACGGCGATAAGGAGGGCGAAAAGGGGGATGAGATTGGTTATTCGAAGAAAGTAAATGACAAAGGTAGCGATGGATATGAGCATGTGGATGGCTTCCATAAAAAGGACTCCGATAAGTATGGCTACGAGATACACTCAGAATTTGGCAAGGAGAACAAGGCTGGAGTTGATATTGGCAAAAAGAAAAAACAGAAACAAAAGAAACATGGTTAGTTTTAAATATACTGGTACTATCCCACCAGCAGTTTCATACTATATATCAGAGAACAAACGCTTTAGAGGTTTGAACCAACCGATATAAATTCTCAAGGAGGTTATAAACGTAACTTCCCTGGGAAGTCAATAACATCACTTCTTTAGGATGTTGACAATGTACGTACATCTTTCTTGGAAGCTCCTCATAAAGTCTCTAGAACCCCTAAATCTCATTCCATTGACCACAAAATTGCACTTTCCAGAGAACGTGTAAATGTATATTTCCAAGGAAGTCATGATCTCTTTATTTTGTGTAGTAGGGGAGCAAGAACCACAGGCAGTGATAAGTGGCGATGCCTACTGAGAATCAATATTTCCAACCTGACAGCTTCTTTTTACAGCATCTATCACAACAGTGATCTAGTTCATAGCGACAATCTTTGTCTTTTGCATTACGTGCGGTCTACCAACTCTGGTTCCATTCTCATCTCAAGCTGAGGACTCGTGTGTATTCTCCACAATACACGCTAGAAAATGGTTTGTTCACAACTCGTGTTTAGTGAAAAATATACACTAGACTTCATTTTGTGTTTTCCATTTAGAGAAGCTCAACATGTTTTTTGATACAGATGGTTTTCTGAGAAGTGGGACTTTCCTTTTCAGAAAGAATTACGTTTGGAATAACAAAGCTAATGTACTGTAAGACAACAGCAAATAAGTAAAAAAAAGTAAGGGAAAAGTTTCTGTTAATTCGATACGAAATTTAAGTACTACCCAGACAGTGTTCGCTAACATGAGTCTCTCAACTTCCTCCTTAATTTGCAACATTCGGGAATCTGTAGATCTCTGTATGCTGGACATTCCTGAAATAAGCAAACCTACACGTCAATGTGTAATTTTGTTTTTTTTCAAATCCGATTTCACCTAATCCTTTCCTTTACTGGATGCGGGGAGCATGCGTTATATAAAAATTCGCTTATTTCAGAAGAACTTTACACCGTGTATGGAGAGTCCCAATTTTGAGAAAAACCTTTCCGTCGAAAAACCTGACTGTTCATCACAAGGAATTCTAACTTTGGAAATAATTTATGACCTAACAAAAAATAGCGAAACCAGAGTGGGTGAAATTTCTCGGTCATTATTCTGATTATTTTTGGAAAGTCCAATATATATTATTTCAGTATACCAGCTTAAGTTTGATTTGCTTTCAGCTTTCGTTTTGTAGTGCAAGGCCGCATTTTCAATAACCTTGGGTCCACGCCACCTTACTGTCCATTTTGGAAGCATCAAAACTAACAAAAAAAGTTGCAACGAAAATGGACGAGTAGTAGATATCTGAAATAGAAACATATACATATTCATACTACGAGTCCTCTGCCTACATTTTTGTATATACATACTGCTTCAGCCTGCCTTCATTTTAGGTTAAAAGGCTAGCATAGACACTAACGCTAATCGCTTTGTTTGCAAGCAATTTACGGAAAGCGACAACAAAAACAAACAATTTAGTACCACTCACACTACGTCTGGCATGGCGATTTAAGACTGTACAAGCAAAACGTACAAGTAGCATCAGTGTCCATGCCAGCCTTGAGACATCAATCTCTTATTTATTATCAAATTTTCAGATGATGACGAAAATGAGGACGGAGGGGAAGGGCAAGAAAGCAAAAAAAACTATGAAGTTGCTGAAAATACAGAAAAGTAAGTACAGCAAATTATAATATTTTTTTACCAGACCCATCATTATCACAAACTAAACATTTATATCAGTTTAATGCAACAAGTTGTTTCTGGCCTTAAATCGAAACCTTTGGCTGTGATTTTCGACTATCCTCTATTACGTCAGAGCCTTTAATCCGTAAATATGTTTCTGCTTCCCGCATTCTTCCATCCTATCTTCTTATTCCTAAAGGCGTTAACATCTTTACCTATTATATATATAAACGATTGAACATATGTTTAAATTGATAAGTTCCTGGGATCGTTGCAAGTACCCGTGAAATACATATTAAGCAAGAATTGATCATTTCGGGAACCAATTACCATTGAAATATAAAAGGTACTGTAAAATATTTTCACACTTTACTAAAACTCCTTCGCTATTTTCAGTGCGGAAGCTAGATTAAAGCAGTCGATAGATGATTTCGATGACAAATTCTATGGTAAAGCAGGTGACTCTGATGTCAAGGGAGCTGCGTCAGAGGACGACGAAACGGAAGCAACATATAGTGAAGATGAAGATAGTGAGGAGCCCGCAGAATGTAAGTCTATTTTAGACAGAAAAAAGTTTTATAGCATCCTCTATTCAAGAGTCAAAGATTCTCAAACGTCAAGTATGATTACTAAAATTTCTCAAACATCCGCCATATACGAATATTTAACTATGGACGTGCTTGTGGTATTATATCATTTTGGTCAACGTCATGTCAAAATTTTTCTTCACAAGTATTAGTTTTATTTTTACCATTTGAAGGAATACCACCTCTGTTTCGAGACATTTAGCCCACAGCAGTTTGCCGTTCAGTAGACGAAACCTTATAGACCGTGAGCTCACGCAACCTCCAGGTAGCGGATGTGTTTAATTTTTTTAAATGATTCATAGAATATTAAGGCAACAACAACTACAACTTGGCAGGTCGCAGTCGTTGTTTGCATGATTTAGGCTCGATTTCACTAACATTTGGAGTTTGAACCAATGGGAAACGACCTTATTTGACGGAAGCTGTCAAATCTCTCTGAATATCAGTGATTGCTATCGGAATATTAAATAAAATCGTGAAAAAACGATTGTATTATAAACAAGAGCACTGTTTGATTCCTACATGATGCTTTTGCTCAGAGAAAACAGGTAATCTTTCATGTATTTTGCTTTTTCTTATAAATTTACAAATAACAGACCGTTATCCCTTTAGCGAATGGGTATGCGACAAATAATAGGTCGATCTTCTAGCTGTTAAATTTGATAGCACGTTTGAACGTATGTTAATGCATGGCAATCTCGAATTTGTTTAGTTCTACATACTGTTTATGTGTTATCATTATAGCTTCATACCTGTTGAATAATGCGGATTTGTCTATATTTTTCAAGAAAGTAGAATATAAATATATTATATCATATTTTACAGTGTTTTGTTTTGAATACTTTGATGCTACTTGCTGCCAAATATCTGACGGAGAGATCTTGAGGCTCATTGGGTATATTTGACGGTCTGTTTGGTACTCGTACCCTATTGCTGGAAAATAATGGTTTTGTTAGATTGTGAAATCGGCACTTAATGTTTTTCAAATTATAAAAAGTGGTAAATTCAACATGTAGTTTGAAGCTTGAAAGTGTAATATGACTCACTTCGTGCATTGCAAAGTAGAAAAATATAATTACCAAGTGATTACGCCACTGCTAGACGAGTCGAAAGGTGAGCAATGTACAGGATGTATTCAAATTAAATACCGATTTGCTTCGGACATGCAGGCTCCTAAGAGATACCGCTGGAAATTGGTTTTTCTTAAATACCTTTCAACCAATGTCATAAAATCCAACATAATGTAATACAATATGTAGAAGGCACCACATTCAACCTACAATCTTGCTATTTCATACCATAACTTTTTCGTTTGTGCCGTGTCATTGCTTTTTGTCAAAATGTACAATAGATTTACGGATTTTAAGTGAAAAGGTACTCTATATTTATATCGACTAGACGGACCCTTTTTAAAAATATTTTTACAACATTCACAGTCAAATGGCTTTAATAATGAAATATGCTATATGAAGGAAATTACCGTTCGCGTGGAGGTTTTACAATACCAGTATGACAGAGGCCTTGTTAACTATGTTCTATGTTCATTTCTTGTCCATAACATATTCCACTCTCAACGAACTGCTCGCGAGTCAGCTATTTGTCAAAAGCTCCATGTTTTTCAGGCCGCTAAATGAGACCACATAACTAAGAATTACTCTTTCCTAACTTTTCAGTCACAGTAAAGTGTCATTCCTACATGTATGTACTCGTAAGTTTCAGATGTTAAATCAGCTGTTTGACTGTGCAATATAGCATAATCGTATTCCTTATACTCATATATGAGGGCTGTAAATTGAGTAATGAGACTGATTTTTGTTAATTTTTTCATTCAAATATGATAACAGTTTTATATTGTCACCTCCAAAATAACTTCACCACGGGCAACCAAATGACCCGAGCGAGTTCAAACTTGTATTGTAGATGGATCTCATGTTCCCCTGTTTCCGGTCAAAGCACGGCGTCTCCAGTGTTTCCAGATCCAAGGCGACGTTGCCAGTCTCACTTCTTAACCTCCCGGTTTCTAAATTCTGATGTTGTTATCACACTAATAGCTTGAGTTATAAGAAAACGATTTTGAAAATTCAGCTTCATCACCCTATACTACCTCATTAACTAACGACATCTACCTAAGGCATCATCTAGGTCTGCTTTCTGGCGTACTCATAACGGACCAATCTGTAGATCTATGAATATCATGGATAAATCGACATTTTGAAGGGCATCTCAGACTATACCGTATCCCTATTCATTATTTTAAAAATGTCCGTTTCATTATTCCAGCAAGCTACTCCTACTCAAAGGGCGGCAGCGGGGGAGGCAGTTACAAAACCGGTGAAGGGGGCGAGGAGAAAGGCGATGGAGGTCACAGTACCAGTTACTCGAAGGGCGGTAGTTACTCCTCGTCATCAGGAAAAAGTAATAAAGGAGGCACCGGTACTGGTAGTGGAAGCGGATATACCTCGGGATCTGACAAGGGGTATGGAGGAGAATCGGAATCGTACCAGGCCGAAGATGATTATTGAAGAGTGTTGTTGGGGCAGATGTCTAGACAAACCAAATTTTTCAAATAAGAAATAAAAATAAACGGTAAATTAAGGTGGAAACGTCAAATTTTGTCGAAAAAAATATAGTCATCATAAAATAGTGTGCTCATAACAATACTATTGTTATTTATCAGTACCCTCATTATTTTAAAAATTACAACTACAGACAATAGCAGTCTAAACAAGGCAAAAGTCGCGCATTAGGTTTGTTGGATGTCCTTAACATGAGTCAAGCGGTTTCCGGTTAGTAGCCCGTTGCAAATTTATTTAAACAATATCTTTGAACAAAAATATTTTTTTTCTTCTCCTCCAGACACATTTTAGTATATATATCTCGAAAATGAGATTTTATGTTTTTTGGATGTTATGTCACTCATTTCAGTCAGTCTGTCTGTTTGTCGGTCTGTCCGCAAATCCTTAGTCCGACTCTAACTTGGAAAGCACTGCTCGCATTCGGATAAAATTTCCACACAAGGTTAACACTATGCCACTTTGTAGGTTTTAAAAATCGGTCCAGTGGAGGCGGAGCTATGTACAAGAAACGGAAAAATAAAAATCGCTCAGATTCGTAATTTTTCAAAAAAATGGCAATCTTGGCTGGACAAGTTGACAGACGTCTAGATTAAAACACAAGCCTTCTCCTGTAAGCTCCGAAGGGTATTTTGGGTTTAGTTTATTTCAAACAATTATTTAATTATTAAATGTGCGCGATAGGCCACGCCCGCGTCCCTCTAGCATACTGAATATTCTGTACACTGAACCGGTCATTTCAAAAACAAATTTGAATTTTTCAGGAGATAACTGTGTCACTGACAAATAAACCAGTTTCAAAGTACTTTTTGCACATAATACAATATTTAAGCTTCGAAAGATTGAAATGTTAAACAACCTCGACCGTTTATTGATGATAATAATAGAAAAAGCGCGGAAAACTGTTCTGGTCTTGAATTATTTTAGCAAAAAATAGGACTAGTCGTATAAAATTCAAGCAAAAGAATCATATTGATCGTATTTCTTATTACTTATTATTGAAAATTACACTTCAATACTGACTTATTGACATGACACTTGTAATTATGTATATTCTGATATCTTTGAGCTACAATTGGCAAACATGTGCAAAGCACACGACGCGGGAAAATTGAATCTTTTTAAGATCCAAACCATGAGTCGGCCAAAAGTAGAAAGACTTATCCGTTCAACCTTCTTCAATAACCGACAACAAGATGTGCTTTTTCAACAACAACAAAAAATGATTTTGCCAAATAGATGTGAGTGTAACTCCATTGGTATAATATCTATACGAACAGCTTTTTAAAATAATTAGCACATATTAGGAGTCAGTAACCGTCGTATAAATTAGCAGAATTGAGTCACTGGTTTTTGTATTGAAAACAAGTCTCAAAGAAATAATAAGGCTTGGTGAATTCCGAATTCGCACCTTATTTTTGTAGTTAATGAATTGAAATCTGGGATCTTGGTAGTGGTCACTTTCACTATTAAGTACCTCTTCTATTCAGAATAGTCCAAAAAACGTGAAACCCTTTGTACGGAACAGTCCGTTTGTTGTTTTGTTTAAGAATTTTTCAAACACAGTGCACCGAGATACCATCCGGCAGCGTGTTGATTCATATGGCTTTCAGCAAACTTGGTTATGGAAAAAATGTAGTCGGAAAATGACTTCCATGGATGCGAGATTTGCCTCATACTACGCATCAACTATCAAACATACGCCAGCTATGTGGATTAACTACTTTAGGGTTTAAGTGTGCGACTCCAGTGTGTTTTTATGAGGTGCTCCAATATATACCTACTATGACCAACGACATGATATACAAATATGTGTTTGAATATCTTGTGTACCGTGATTTTATTCGGTGTATGTGCGAAGAGGACAAACATTAGACCGGCGGGAAGGATACTAGCTTAATCACAGATGCAAACTACTGCAGCCCACATTTAGCTTGCAAGGTTTCTGGGTTGCAGGCCTTTAAATATGAGTAAAGATAATTGCATTTCGAGCATGACATCACACCGATTCGTTAAAAGATTCTCTTTTTGATTGAAATTATGCGAAAAACCGAATCAGCATATTTTTTGAGCGCATAGGCTATGTGTACTACCATTCTATGAAACAATTCAACAACGTTGTGAAATCTTGGGGTTAGCTTGACGTCATAATCGAAAAAAATAGGTAACATGACTGTCAAATTACTACGGTTCACTTCACTACTCATACGAACTCTTTTTTCGTAGATATTCGTTATTAGCTTTCGCTGTCAAAAATAAGGTAATGGAAGACCTAACGACTCGTTATTTTTGTTGAGTTAAAAGCTCTCGCTGCGTGTGCGATTATAGCGCCGCCTAGTGACCATAATTATTCGGGACTTGGGACCCATCAATTCTTGGCAATTAGATGTTTTGATAACAATTTTCGGCTTGTTTTTCAGTCAACTTAAATAAAATCAAATGAAAGTACTTACAAAGTTTGTGGGTACATATTGAACTAAGTAATTTGCGTACCTGAACCAAAAGAACAGTGATTTGTATTTGTAAAACAAGATTTAAACTTGCAACTTTAAACTACGTAAAAAGGAAAGAGATTAGTGTTAGCACAGCTTGTAAGAGACGTTGATCTCAGGACGAACGGACTCTTTATAATACATCATTAAGTGTGACTTGGTAACATCAGTCGTATTTTTGTCTCCGTTACAGTAGATACTATTTTTGGGTTGTAGGTTATAAAAATTGTGCATAAAAATGTAGCAAATGTGAATATTGAGTAATATATGATGGTTTTTAGCATATTTTTATAACCTATGTACTCGCCGATCAAGCGATGTTTTTTCCAGAGAAATTCCCTTTAGAGACAATCATTGTTGATAACTGACAGACATTTTAATTAATTTGAACACAGCTTCCTATGCGGTGTATTGGGAATTTAAATTTTTTATAAATTAGCATTAATTTAGGCCCTAGTCACGTCACTCTCTGGACTTTTTTACACGCTATTGTATATTCTTTTCCAGAATTGTATGTCTCTTGTTGATATGGGGTATTTTTAAATGTTACTAGATAATGAGCTATCTTTTGCTGTTAATCGTAATGGAGACCCGCGAAAAAGGTCATAGTAAAAATAAAATATATTCACAAAAGTCATGATAGGTTATGCTGCTTATTATTTCTTCTTTACAGCAGTTATCCATCTATTTCTTTGCATCTAATTTCCATGTTGCAGTAGACACGTATAAAATTAGTACTGTTTTTCCAGTGTTTTTAGGCAGCATTCGACAATTTGACTGTTTCCACATGAACATATTTAACAAATCTAGTGAGAAATGATATTTTTATGTCTATTTCGAGTTGACGGTCTCCACTACCCACTCTGTACATAGCAAATTGTTAAAAAAAATCAGAATGATATCTATATGATGGTAATGTTCGAAGACTTGGTAACGTTGCACATTGCCTTCGAGCCCTGTCCGTGTAGTCAGGGGTTGCATTTCAAAGTTTAAACAGATAGTATATTCCAACTTTGGTTAAAATAAGATTCTTATATATATTATATATTACAAGATCCAACCAAATTATAAGTACAGTTAATTAAAAAGGGTTATAGGAAATGAAAAAACTATACTATACTAACATATTTTAGAAATTTCATATTTGTACTCATTTTTAGTCCCATTTTATTCATCTACGATCAAAAACTAGGGCCTAAAATCTAAAACAAAAAAACTGTTGGTCGCGGGTCTCGAACTATTTCACATGCCACATCGCACGAGGCGATCGATTTGAGGGTCCCCAACATCCGTTTCGCACATAGCGGAAACGGCAATCAAAACAAAAGAAACATGCTCTGCTTCCGTCAGTCCGACCAAAGACACCCAACCATGAACAGCTGTTTCGCGCTTTTTGGCTACATTTCAGCATGCTTTAGGCTTGAGTCTCTCGACCAACAAACGAGAGCATAGTAACTATACATTATCAAAACTGTGGGATTTATCAAATAAGACATAAATCGACCACTGCGAATAGTTAATCGCAGCCCACCGGCTGGGATTGTAGAGATCTCAGTCCACGAATTGAGAACCCAGTCACCACGTGACCGCTAGATGGCTACGATTATAGCTGTGTGGTCGACCACATCGAAGGCAAACATTCTTCGTATCATTAAAGGGGCCAATACTACTGACTACACAAAGCAAAAAGGAACGAATGAAAGATTCAAAACTTCGATAACGGTGATGAAGACTCCCGAACCACGGATGTAACAAGTGATTCAGGTTTTTGTCAAACAATGTCACTAAAATAGCAAAGGAAGAGAGACAGCATAATCTCTAGATAAGTTTATCTTATATTGTAATATGTTTGAAAACTATGTCCGGTTTATTTACTCGTATATGTTTTCTGTTCTGAAGGATAAAACATTCTAAGTAAAGACATGGATCCAAATTTGCGATCTCATTAATTTTTGTATGTTTCCAGTTAATTAATAATTTCTAGTGAGTTGAGCCAACTATTTAGATCAATCAAACCGTGTGGTCGGGCAATACGAATAGATGCATATAGTATATCTGATCTAAGAAAATACTCTGAACTCTGTATTTCCCAATTACCTCTTATCTATATAGGATTTCATGACGATTCCCATTTTTTTGTAGTTTCAATTTAATTGGTTTAGAACGACTATACCAACAGTAGTAACAGCAAGATTTTAGAGAAGGTTCACGAAACACATTAAAATCTTAATCTGGTAATAACAGGAGCTAAACATTTTGCAAAAATTGTTATTGTTGCTTGTTGATCGTATGTTAGCATATTCTTCCATGAGGCTAGATATACTTTGTACAAGATTCGGCTTAATTTGCTTAATATACTTTAGCTTTTCTGAAGAATGTATCTAAGAATAGACTGTTGCTAATCTCGCGTTTCGTGATACATTATACTTCAAAATAGCTATACATCAATACATTTTATTTTTGTAATTTCCTCTGTAGAACAATTATGATAATAAAGATCTAGTTTTTGTTATTTTGTAATTTTATTTTGCATCGTACGCTCAGCAATACAGACTGATTAAAAAGACAGTGACAATAATAATTCATGAAAGAAATTGCAAAAAATCATTTAAATCAGTGGCGACCCCAGGATTTCAGTCTGGTTAGGGTAAAGTGGTAACGTGAGTCGCTTAGGGAACTACCAACAAATTTTGAATAAACCAGGCCATATTTTATAATATAAATATAAGATCTAACAAAAAAAGTCTCACAGTGTTACTTCTTTATTATTTTGTGTGTCCAATAAGGGAACCTAAAATGATTATGGAAGATTATTGCCCAACGCAATATTTTATATTTTTCTTGAGAAGACAAGTTACCGCTGAAATTGGGCGCAACATCAACATAAATAATTGGACTTTTCATGGTGTGATTGACCTTTAAGCCTGTAAGAATGGGTTTCCACTGCACTCAGCAAATGGCTCAACATCAATAAAATTGTAACTGTAATGCTGTAGTTGAATGCACTGATTGTCGGACAGCGTATCCAGGATTTTATCTTCTGTTTTTGATTCATTCGTTTTTCCAGTATTTTTTCTTTCGGTAGGTAGGACCACTCTACTTGCCCGCCTATTGAACTAAAAACCGTCACTCATTTTCTTCGGTCTGTCTGTCGATTTATCGGTCTATCCACTAATCAGGATTAGTAATAAGTTATATGCCTATAACTTGAAAAGTACTGCTCGAATTTCGATGAAATTTCTACTGAATGTAAAAGCTATGGTTTTTGAAAATCGGTCCAGTGGTGGGAAAGAAAAAGGCCTAAATCGAAAACAGTAATAATCGTTGAACAGTTCTGGTTATAGGTATGAGAAAGATGTAGTATCACTTCCCAAAAAGATCGGACGGGGTATGGCCGTAGTTGACTGCCGGATGTTGAGGAATTGGAACCGATAGTCTCCCAGGCTGATGTATTTCTGGCTGAGTAAGGAGCTACCTGTCCGATATGCTTATACTCAGAAACGGCTTCAAGCCACGCCCGCTTTTATGGCAGCTTAAAATTCTCGCTAGAGGTATAGACAATATTTTAAGCGAGGTTGCTTCTCCGGGACGATTACAAAAAATATTAGTGGTAGCGATACATAATTCAGATCTGTCAGATGTCTTGCTATAATTAAAATGCAGCATGAGGGCAAATATCAGTCGTAGGAGGAACCTAGTTAAGCCACCTTCAACTTACATGTACAACATACTAAATCACACACCACACTTATTCGATTGAGAGAAAAGTCAATGGAAACAATGCACAGTCAAGGAGGATATTATATTTTTTTCCGAAGAGAGTGCCCTTTCGCTCTGTACCCAAAGCAGGAAACTAGAGGCCACCTTTGGGCAAAGACCAGCGAATCGAACAGGATTGCGTAGTATGGGCTCTAGTGGACAAGCGATCTCAGAGCAGAGAAGCAGCCGGCAAAGAGACAGCGAACGACAATCTGGGCATATTAAAGAGAAGAAACGTTGGAAGCATTTTTGACGGTTGTCAGGCTAGCCAGCTGAGAACGTTGGTCGAAGAATGGCAACTCCTACAGGCTTCAACATTTATTTTCAACACCTTAAAGAGGTACAAAGCTCCTTTTGTTGTACAACCGCCGTTGGCCAAGGTCGAACAAGGGACATCGCCGGTTTTTGGCCTCTCATACACAGGAAAAGTTTACCACGTGACATGCCTACCATTCGGGATCTTGACCACGCTATTAGTTTTCGCCAGGATTACCAAATGGATAGCACAATTCTCGAAAGCGGCGTGAAATTGGTGGTCTACCTGGGCGATTTGCTCATAGCGATCAAGAACCTAGAGCAGCTCAAACAACTTGCACAGAAAGACCACTGAAAGCTTGACGACTTCGATAGAATGCTTGGGCTTTATATGTGATGGCGACAAACACAAGAAATGGTTATCACAAGTTAAAGTGGATCGGGTTTGCAAAGAGAGGTTGATTCAGAGAGGATCGTGAAAGTAGCGCAAGGCGAAAGCGTTATTAGGATCGCTGATTTTTGACGCTATGTTGTACGTTTAGGTCGTCTGCACTGCCACAGAGCACAGAAGATATCCAATGGACTCACCCATTTCTCAAAGACAAGGTCGGCCATCCCAAAATGGTTCTGAAAGACTTTGATTAAACGATCTCGCGATCTTACGAACGTGAAACGGGTGCCTACTGTACTGGCACAGCAACTTCAAAGACCTTTGGGCAGTTGTCAAGGCACCCAAGAGAAACTTAATGGTACTAACAGCACGGTAATAGCTTAGGTCAGCAAGAAAGAGGGGGACGAAGGGGATCAAGCTGCTCGAACTGACAACGTAATTACTAGAAACTTGTTCCAAATTCACCATAACGCTGCAACCTCAGTATATCCTCGGAAAAAACAATGCGACGACCGATCATCTCTCCAGAGGTTGACTACTTCCAGACTAGTCGTTGTCAAATGCGACAATTTTACAAGTGGGGGGTACCGAAAGTGGCCCTCTTTGCAACAAAGTTGTCGGCAGTGGTGCCGAATTACGCCAGCCTGAACGTGACCGATTACAATGCTTATTCCATAAATGCATTTAACAGATTGTTTATTTTCCAGCTCGCTTGGATATTTCTACCGGCTCTCATTCCGACAGTCCTGAATCATCTGAACTTGGCATCGGGACTTCACAAACTGGCAGCGTCAAAACATGGGAGGAGGCATTTTGGCATCTAGATCTTCGGAACAAGGCAGTAGAAGGTCCCATAGCGATTTAAAACTTGTGTCGCAACCTCCCGCCTCTCCCCTAGGTGCGACTACTCGAAATTGGAGTCATGGAAAGTTCAGGGTGGTCAGAGCAAGTCTCTGATTGGAAAAGAAATGACATCGACCTTCTAGTATTTTCATGGAGGAACTCCATATAGGAACACCTGCGCAAAACGAAATATGATTGGTTCGGATAATCCAAAGGCAACAGATCTGGCTAAGTTACTATGCTACTTGTTCAGAGGTTGTAAATTGTCCCCGTACACAATATCCTTAAATGACTCGGACAAATAATCTGAGCTCTTAACCTCAAATGCAGAGAGCGATGAAAGCCATTAAGTTGAAACAGCAGCTTCTGCCGAAATCCATACGGAGTGTTTCCACAATCATACAATGGCTGGTTTCTAACCCACCTGCAGAGGATAGTACCTTCCTGTTGCCTCACTATTTAGTCCTAAGTTTGCTACTAGCATCAGGTAGGAGGATGCACGACCTAACGCTGCTACACGTATTGAAGATTTTTTCCAAATAAGAAATAACTCTGTTATCTTTTGGCCGGCGTTTGGCTCTAAGTCGGATTTGGCGACGTTTCGACAACCAGGTTGGCTGATTATTAGCCATCCAGGCAGCAGTTTGCTCCCGGATTATTGGATTCTCAAGCAGATATCTGTATCTGCATCCAAGAAAAAACCTCTTGGCCAGGGGTAACTGGCGTCACCAGGACACACTCCTCGAACACTCTTTCAAGCGAATACAAGACAAGTGGAGCTCTGGGATATCTAAGTACCTCAGTGAAGCTTTTCAGCCGGTGTAGCGGAGAACAGTGAAGTTATTATTTTTTTTCAATTCAAAACACGATATCTCATTCAAGTTCCTACTCAACCTTTTACTATAGCATATCACAGTGCGCGATGTGAATCGACAGAAAACAAACAGTTCTCCAAGGGTCAAGCTGAAGACTCTGACCTAGAAAAGATCCGTTTTTCCCATGAAAGGCTGAGAACAAGGTTCTTTATGTTCCACCAGCTACGCATGTTAGACCAATCTGCCGATTCAAATATGTAAGACCAATCTGGCAATACAACGTATTTATTGATGAACGTTTACAGTTATTCTTTTGTATCAAATTTGATGACAAATATTTATGGTACGAGGGATGTCTTTTAAGTTTTGCATATGGAAATAAAACAACACGGTAGGTAGTTTTGAATGACTTTATTGTTTTTCGAAGTATTCTCCACGGAGATTAATACACATCTGCATGCGCTCGAACCAATTTTCTAAGCACTTATTCCACTCGTTTGCTGGCAGATCCAAAACGGCATTTTTGAATCCGTCAACTGCTTCTTCTGCTGACTGGAACCTTTGACCACGCAGTCTGTTTTTAATTTTCGGGAAAATAAAGAAATCGTTAGGACTTATCGGGACTATATGGAGGATGGTCCAATAGTTCCACGTTTTCTTCCGTTAAATACTGCCTCGTTTTTTGAGCTGTGTGCGAGCTTGCATTGTCTTGGTGGAGGATGATTCTTCTTTCGGGGTTGATTTTTCGAGGCTCGGTGATGACTTTTGGCAAACAAATGGTGGTATACCAATCCGCAGTAACAGTTCTTTGCTCATTAAGAGGAATTGTTGCAATATGACCCGCTTTTGATATAAATGTCTTTTTCGAAACACTTCGAGAATGGATGACGTTTGTTGGCTTTTCTTCACCTTGGAACACCCAAACAGCCGACTGTCGTTTATTTTCTGATTCATAACAGTAAATGCACGAGTCATCACCACTAACAATGCTGTACACATTTTTTGATTTTCCGGAATTGAAACGGCCAAGCGTTTTTTGACACCAATTAACCCTGGCTGCTTTCTGCTCTTCAGTCAACAGGTGGGGTATCCAACGAGAAACTAATTTTCTTACTCCTAATTCTTCATGTAAATTTTTTTGAATAGATGTCTTTGAGATCTTCAAGGAAGCCTCAATCTCGCGATATGTCACATGTCTATCTTCAATAATGAGTTTGCGCACAGTATCGACGTTTTCCTGGGTGACTGCCGTTTTTGGTGCACCCACCCTTGAATCGTCGCTAAGACTCATCCATCCACGTTTGAATTCTCCATACCAAAGGGAAATTGTCGACTGATGTGACGCTTCGTTGCCGAAAACAGACAGTAATTCAGCAAGGCATTCTTGTTGCGATAATTGTCTCTGAAAGTTGTAATAAATTATGGCGCGAAAATGTTCTCGGTTGAGTTCCATATTTCTAATGACTTGGTGACACTTAAAAATTCACAACACGGCGTATTGCTGTGAAACTTTGAATTTAAGTTTACTAAAGAGTGAGGTTAAAATTCAGTACTAACGTTCGATCCGCACGGCCTACTATGTTTCTATATGCAAAACTTAAAAGACATCCCTCGTATGTCAGAATTTCCGAACGATAACAGCATTCGTCTCCGCGACAATTGGCCAGTATGATTGACGAGCATAGTTTGTTAGCAAGAATGCGCACTATATCCTTGAGTTAGTCTAAGGTTCTGTTGACACACACTATTGCATTCGATATTGCATATTCTCGGGTGTCTGTTCCAACGCGTTACCGCAATACAAAAAGAAAGCGCACTGGTGCACTGGAGAATAGGATCATATGCGATGCTAGTAGCCGCCGACCAGCTAAAGTCGCGCATGCCAGTCGGTCCTCGGTGAGCACATGGGTGTTCGGTTGGGGTTATGGGCTCTATACGTGGAACAGCGAGCGAAAAGGTAAGACGCAATCTCCGAGGATCAAGCCTCGGCTAGGCACAAAATACCGTTTTTGCGCTTTGGGGGAAAACAAGGGGCCGCGGAATAGATTAATTTGTTGTTTTGAAGACATGGTGCTCTCCTCCGAAATGTTCAACATCCCGCATCGCGAAAGTAATAGAGCATCAAATTTCGCTCTGCCAATTTGATTTGATATTTTGAATGAGCAAAACGCTTGTGAAAGGAGACAAAGGCGATTTAACATCTCAAATTCAATTGGAATATGTTCTAATATAAAATTATGCAAGTTCCGCGTCATGGTTTCACCTCTTTTTCTGCCTGCTTCAGTTGTGGATGGAAATAGCATGCCCCTATGCGATCCTCTTCCATACAGGTAACGTATCTTCACACTTCGAAGTTCAAAAATTTTGTATCTGTGAGTCTGTACATATATAACGTCCAGCCGTAGTGGAAAACGCGGAAACTTTTGAAGGTGTCGCCAAACTTTCGACTTGTTTTGCCTGATACAAGTGACACCGATTTGCCATCTAACAATGGTTCATGGCATTAGGCAACGTGGTTATCTACGTGTAAAATATAAACCATACGACTTTAAAATAGCCATGACGGCTAGCCGAATATACAATAACTATTGAAACTCTAACCAGCCGGTTATGATTTAACATCCCTGTCGGTAATAACCAACATTTACAGCCCTTTTAACTTGAAGTATGAAGATTCGGCGAAACAGAAGATGGGTTGCTCCACCAAATCGCAATTGATGGCATTGGACTACATAAGAACATGATATATTCGCGGTGCGGGAGCATGATTTTAGAAGTACAAATTCTGTTTGCTCTAGTTTCCCTTGAGGTCGAAAAGCCCTATTTGTCCCTTTTTAAAACTGAAGAGTGTGGGGTAGTGTACTGAGGAAAATGATTTTCATGAGTTACGTTTTCTGTGCTGGAGTCCGTGGAGCAAAGCCTCCCCCCCCCAAAAAACACCAGAAGATCTCTAGGCAAGGCAACTGCCTGGTAGGTCAAAGCCTGATAGCGGCCCTTTCACACAAGATTTATCTAAAACCACGTTTATTTCCAGGCAGCCGCGATGGCCGTAGTAGTAGACTCTTCGGTCTCCTGATAGTCGCCGTGCGCTGTGCAGGTTCGAATCCCGCCCCAGGAGAAAATTTTCTCTTGGCTATGGATGTCATGATGGTCCGTAGGTAGTAGACGGAATCTGACAGTCGAAGGCGGAGGTACCACATGGCGGATCTTGTACGCGGGGCCAGAATGTGTGTAGGTTGCATGCACACGTGTTCCCTCGCCAGAGTGCGTGTGGCGATCTTCCTTTCCCCTGTATACCCCTATAGTCCCACGGTACCCGATGCGTGTTTAGAACTTAGGTCTTCCTGGTAGTTAGAGTATAAAAAAATTACAAAACATAAATGGTGGTTATAACATCCAGCTAAATTTTTAACGGTGGCTACTTATAACTAAACACTTTATGCTCCTGTATTCGATAAACACATTTAGGAATTTCATTCCACGCCACTGATCTCAGACAGTTGTCTACACTATACTCGCAACACTGGTTGACCACAGCTTATGTGTAAGCATTGAACAAAACATTCGATTACAGTCTGTAGCAACGTACAGAGAAAAATACGCAGGACTTCCCCATATTATACGTATGTTTCACGATTTTACGATAAATAGTTTCGACGTTGATGGCATGGCACCAGATCCGCATATTGCTTGCAACCTTGAAAAACCGTGTAGTATCCGATTATCTACAGAAAATTGTTATTTCCATCTAAAACTATCGTGACCGGGAGTGCATTAACATTGTCCGTAGGAAGTGATCTATCCTACATCAGTTAGCAGAACAGGCACAAGAGAGGTAAGCCACTAACGAAACAATCTATTCATTGACACAACGGTGACAATTACATTCAATCAGTTCTTTCCAACAAGGACATGCTGAATATTAAAGACTGGCATCATCCAGACAAGATAATAATGTGATGTTGCCTAGCTACAAGCTGAATTCTTCTGGTCCACTGTGAACAACCGTGTGGGACTATCCGAAAGTCATTGTTGGAAAGAACAGAATGTGTGTTAATCAGAATCTTCCACACGCTATACGTAGGACATGTCAAAAGTCTCTTCGTATGAAAAGATTATTTATTCACTTCATCATACTCGAGAACCAATCAATAAACAAAAAAAAATTAAAAACATTATTTTCAACCCCATTTTTTGCAAATGGATAATTGAACAGAACATTTTTTCCTGGCACGAGTTATATTCTCGTTCAGTTCTCCGGAACTTCGTTAGATCGCCTGGATTAAAAGTGAAGACATCACGAGCGTAACGGCTATCCAGGTCTTAAAATTTTCACTGCTGTAAATAGTTGTGGCAGACAAGTCTTTTAGGTATGCACTATATAGTTGTGACTTCTTCTCCCTGTCAAGAACAATATTTCCTACGAAAGCTGATTTCCTGAAAAAAAGACACGATTATTGTTTTTTCAACCTACCGCGCTGTTACCCTTAAACTGGCTGGTTTTCATCTTCGGCTTTATCCTTTAGTTGGCAAATCAAAAAATATAGTCAACTTCCATCACCTGTGGTCATTGAATTTATAGCACTACGTTCTTGAAATTCAAGTCTTTTCAACATTTTTTGCACCAAGATACTCTTGTCATCCTTTATTCCACAGTGTTTGAGGTACCCAAAGGGGATCTAACATTTCGTTCAGGATTTCTGCTAAGTGCGATTTGCCTTCGTTCAAAAGTTATACGTTCTTTTCGGTTAAGATTTCTGATGGCTGGTCTAAACGAGGACCTTCTTCTAAACTAAATGAGCCACTTTTGAAATTTAAATATCGTCCTTAGATGATTCTCAAGGATGGCGCATCGTCATCAAATATCTTTTTCATTTCGTCGAGACGACTCCATAGACATACTTTAAATAATTACGAATCGCCGTCGCCACACAGTTAATTTTCAAGACCTACAAATCTTTTTCGTTCTTAGCATATAAGTCACCTACTATTGTTAGATTTAATATAATCACGTAAATTGTTTGGCAAATTCACGTGAAAATGGCAAATTAATATCGCTGATATAGGATCCGACAAAACAATTCGTTAAATATTTGTATAATGGCAATGTAAACTTTTGGAATAGATATAAGTTTGGCAACACCTCTACGAATTTTTCGCTACATCCGAATGCTAGACATACACGGACGCACAGATAAGGGCTTTCATATATTCGTTGTTACTGTGGAAATCATTTGTGTGAAAGTGATTTTGATCGTATTTGCCAAGCCCTACAGTTGAGCCTTTTTGTACTTTAAAGTGAAAATATACTAATGCCTATATAAAAAAGGTTATCTTACCAATAACCATTGATGGCAATGGTCATTGGATTGCCTAGGATATATCTCTCCAAAACTGAAACAGGTATCTCAGAAAAAGAAGCAGAATGTGCGTACGAATCTTCTACAATTTTGCACCCCATATTTAAATTATATTTAATAATAATATTTAGTTACCTTTAGGTCTTATTACTTTTCCGCTGCTGGATGGGGTAGTACCTTGATCTTAGAAACAAATTTTATCTGCTCTGACCTTTATACTGGCAAAACAGAGGTTTCTACAAGTTTACAGCTTATTTTCTCTCAGTCCGAGGTTGTCCCTCTTTAATGGCTTATTCAATTGGACTAATGAGCATTTATGGATTGATGAAAGAAAATTTAAACATCATACAAATTAAAAATGACATGCTTATATTGACGATATGCACAATGTAGATAACTGTTAAAATTCCAACTACTCGATTGTAATTTATATTTAAACCCTCTACAAAAATAACTAAATAATTACTGATTATACCTCCGTAGCCTCTTGAGCGGGGCAGTGGCAAATGCTTGTTCCGGAAGTTGTATTCAGTATACAACTTCTTCCCGTTTAAGTGATTGTACACACGTTAAGGAATACCTCAGTACCGATTGCCGGGTGGCAGTACAAGTCCGCCAACGGGCCACTTTAGGTCTATTTAATATCACTAACCCGTAAAAAGAAGGTGGTAGACAAGGACCAGTCGACCGAGGCGGTTCCACCCGCTAGCTTTTCCCAGGGTGTCTTATAAATGTCCGCATGTTTCCACACCTAAGCTATGCAGTCGGTTATCTTCCAAAACAAAGAAATTTATGATGATGGATCCCTCGAGCACTAAGAACTCCGGACGTAAACTCACTCCACTCTTGGAATGTCCGGGTGGAGGGTGGTCTCGAGGGAACAACATCGAAGAAAAAATTTGTTTTTCGAACATCTGCGGGATTAACAGCAACATTGATGCTGTACGCTCCAATTTGAGAAAGAACGGGGGAGTTGTCCGCAGCAGTCATTCCTGCTCCAGAGATGTTTCTTTTTAATCAGACCGGAAGGACATTCTGTGGCTTCGCGTCAACGCCAAAGCATTCCCCAAATTTATTTGCTGCCTTTATCGCTCTGCCTGGGCCAAAACTGGGATGACCTACTTGAATACCTCGCTGTCAAGATCTAAATCCTGAACATCAATTACCCCGCTTCAGAGGCAGTTCTCCTCGGTAATTTCAATGCCCATAATGAACTTGGTTGGGCTCAAACAAGACCGATGCAGCAAGTAGCTATTACCTAAGGACTGACCCAGCGGCAAGTCGACTGGGAGGGGTTCTCCATCTTTCCTTAGAGAGATGTTTGTCTTGCTGACGCGGATGAGTCGGCTTCCTGTTCATCGATAACCGAAATTATCCACGTTGGGATGGAGGAATACATCCCTCATACAGTGGAAGTGCCCAAATAGGGATACGTCGGCTGGTTCAACAAATCGTGCGACATTGGTCGTCAGCAGAAGATGAAGACACACAGAACCTTTTTTACAAAACCTTACTGTAGAGAACAGACAAGCCGACGTCGAGTTCAGAAACAAATATACCGGTCCGGAATGTCAAAGACTAGCAAGATATAAAGTTTACGCACAGGGTAACATCGCAGTGCAATGGCAGTCGGTCTTTCTGGACGATGGCCAAGCAGATTGAAAGGAACTTCTCACAGAGTAGCCGTCCACCGTCCGGATATTATGATTGTATCGACTCAAAGGCTACCAAGATCTTTTCTGACAAGTTCACCATCCCGTCCCCCCCAACACCCGAGTGCCATCGATCTGAAGAGTTCGCTTCACTGTGCGGGAAGCCGGGAAGTAACATTGAGAACCTAAGACTAGTGCTCTTGTTGCTCAACATCGACAAAGCAGGCGGTCAGGACTTGATTCCTGCTGTTGTATTGAAGAGGTGTGGAGTGGAGCTAGCTTCAGTTCTTTCGTGTCTCTTTCAGATATCTTACGAGTCCGGCACCATCCTAGAAAACTGAAAAGCCCATCCCATCCTAAAAACCCCGCTCATACTGCATTTTTTGACGCTTCAGATGATCCTGATTATTTTCAGAAAAATGTCTACAGGATTTGCATGTTTGGGCCTATAGGGGGTGAGGGAGAGTTTATGTCAATTTCTTGGCGCTAGCAATTTATATTTTCCAGCCCCGGTAATTCTACGCACCTAGACATACAGGATGGCGCATCGAAACGAAACAGACGCATTTACTGGCAGCTCAGTTTTTTTTTGGAAAAACGCTCAGACCCGTAGATTTTTTTTTCGAGGGGGACAAAAGTTTGACAAAAAATCACGTTAACACGTGCAGACCCCTGGGCGGAGGTGACACCAACCCTAAAATCTTAAATGGAACAGGGGGTCGAGTGATACCTTATTTTAAAGGTCTTTCAATTCCCTTTATAATGATGTAAAAGCTATTGGATCGTTTTTTTGTGGCAAAAAAGTTCTTTCTTGAAGAAAGATAAGGAAATATCTCATAGTTATTTTAAATAGGAATTTAGTACATAGTTTGCTATTGATTTGACCAAACTTTGTTGCTAAAATAACTTGTAACGCTTTACTACATAAATTAACCATGGTATATTCCACAGCAGAAAGAGTTGAAATTATCGAAATATTTTTCGGAATTAATCAGTGCGCTAATAGAACAGCAGAAATATTTAATGAGGGACATGAGAACAGTAACGTGCATCGAAAATATGTTGTAGCACTTGTAGCTAAATTTCGGGAAACTGGGTCAATCGCCAATAAAAAACGCAACATTGAAAATCCAATAAGGAACGAAGCAATAGAAGTGGGGGTTTTAGGGCAAGTTTATGTAGATCCTAAGATAAGTACTCGCAAATTGGAGACTGTGTGTGGTGTTAGTCGGCGTACTGTCCAACGGATTCTAAAGGCCCATAGTTTTCGTCCGTATAAAATTCACCTGGTACAAGAACTTAATGAAGACGATTTTGATCGGCGATTACAATTTTGTGAAGATATGAGTGAACGAATTATAAACGATGAACATTTTCTATTCAACACTTGCTTTTCCGACGAATGTTCCTTTTTCTCAAATGGCGTAGTAGATCGTCATAACTGCCGATATTGGTCCGATTCTAATCAAAGAATGTATCATGAGGTTCATAGGGTAAAGTCGCCTAATATGAGACCGTTCCTAATATGAGACCCTAGATGATCGTCTCTGTAGAGTCCTGTAAGCCCACATTCATATGATTTACAGGTTACTAGTGGTATAGTACGGGCCCTCTCCTCTAGATGGCGCAATATTTCATTTAACAGCTGTTTAATGCGAGATTTGTTAAAATTTGTACTGTGAAGTTTTTTACCGTTTTCCCTTTATATATTTACTTTATCATCATGGTAAGTATATTTTGGTTTGTAATATGATTTGTATGTAGTACAACAAATGTAGTCTTATTCCCACCTTTTCTTTATCCATTCGAAATACAACAAACTAACCTATACATTTTTTTTCTAAATGTGTTGTTGGTTCCAAATATGAGACCCTCTGGGGTTCCCATTATGAGGAGGGTCTCATATTAGGACCCCGATATTTATATAGAATTTTTTCAGGGGAGTTCTTCTAAACGTCGCAAACAATGGAACAAGGGGCAAATGGTGTTGGCGATTAAAGCAGTTCGAACTCATGTCATGGGTTACAAGACAGCGGCGAAACATTTTCAAGTACCGAAAGGTACCCTTGAACGTTATGTTAAAAACATTAATTTTTCTCCTGAAGAACTCGTTCGTACAACACTTGGTAGAAAACCTGCTTTAGGAAAAGCTATCGAGGATGAGCTAGTTCGATACTGTTTCGATATGGATAATAGGTTTTTTGGTCTGCGAAGATCTGATGTAAAACGCATGGCCTTCGAGTTGGCAATTGCTAATAATATCCAGCACCCATTTTCACAGGAAAAAGGCGTTGCAGGAAACAAATGGCTTAGAGGATTTTTCAAACGTAATCCCCAGCTGTCTGTTAGGTCACCTCAAGGCATGTCCAATGCCAGAATACGGGGATTCAATCAAGAAAGCGTTGCTTCATTCTTCGATTTGTACGAAAAGGAATTATCGAAAATCAATTTTGCACCACAAAGGTTGTTTAACGTGGATGAGACAGGGATTAGTGTGGTGCAACATAAAAGAAGTAAGGTCATTTCTGCTAAAGGTAAAAAGCAAGTACGCGTAACATAGACGTAATAAATAAAGCTAGAGAAAACCACGTATCAATTGTTTGCCTACCTCCCCACAGCACACATCGCATGCAACCGTTGGATGTAGGATTCATGGGGCCTCTGAAAACGTACTATGCTCAGGAAATTGAGACTTGGCTGCGAAACAACCCTGATCGTATTGTCACGCCATTTATCATTGCAAGACTATTTTCAGTTGCATATAACAGAGCAGCCACTATGGAGGTTTCGGTGAACTCATTTAGAACAACGGGACTATTTCCGCTTAATAGAAATATTTTCCGAGATCATGATTTCTCAGTGTTCGAAGTTGAGGAGAAATTAACAGTCCCTGAAGATACTGTAAGTCGTCCTCCACCGGGATCTTCCACAGAATCTAGAAACATTGAATATACTTCAGGAAAATCAGAAGGTATCAGTTGCATTAAAACAGCTTTAGATAATCCCCGTCCAGGAACTTCCAAAGATTCTAGCGATATTGAGGATGCCGCAGATGATCCACGGCCGGGAAATTCAAAAGAGTCCAATGATCAGGGGGCTGTAAATAGTTCTCGTAAAGCCGTCAAATACCTTTCAGAACCTACAAAGCTTGTCAGTCCAGTGCAGATAAAACCTCTTCCCAAAATAAAGAGCAAGAAGCCCAGTGCTCGTGCAGGCAGTGCAGCATTGATTACCTCATCTCCTTACAAAGATGATTTAACAGAAAGTTTGGATAAGAAACGTAAAAAGGAAGATTCCGCAAAACATAGCAAAGTTACATCAGTTACAAAGAAGGTTAAGTTTGACGATGCAAGGGAAGCAAAGTTTCGCAAACCAAAAAGTACTAAACGGTTTAAAAAGAAGAGGGCCGATTTAAGTGACAGCTCAACTGATGAAAGCGATGACTTGGGAGAAGTTGTTGTTGATGATGAGAGTGATGGTGACGAAAATTATGACGCAGAATGCCTCTTCTGCACAAGCATGTATTCTGCAGACAAGCATGGTGAACAGTGGGTTAGGTGTACAGTGTGCTACAGATGGGCCCATGAAGATTGTGGTGCAGAAGATCCTATCTTTGTGTGCCCAATGTGTGAAAAAAGACAGAAAAAGTAACTATATAATGTATTTTTGTGGTCTATTTACTCTAAATAATGTTATTTGGAAAGAAATTTATAGGGTCTCATATTAGGAACCCAATTTTTTTTAGTTACTTTTTACATTTTATGAGTATTGTAGCTTTATTTGAAAAAATAAATAAAAAAGTACATTTTCGTTCCGTGTTTTTTAAAGCATAAACCCTTACCAATAAAACAAATCAGTAATAACTTAAAATTTGTTATTTTTACAGAAATTATAGATGTTTTCCAAAATGGGTCTCATATTAGGCGACTTTACCTTACACAGCAGCCACAAAAATTAAATGTTTGGGCTAGTATTTTTGGCGATCATTTAGTTGGTCCTGGAAATTTGACCGGTGAAATATATGTGGAATTACTGGAAGACGCCATAGATCATGCATTAACAGCCATAATTGAAAATCAGAATGATCGGCGGTATATTGCGAATAGGTTGATGTTCCAATAGGATGGTGCCCCACCACATTACGCATTACGTGTTCGACAATATTTAGATCAGACGTTTGCAGATCGATGGATTGGTAGAAGAGGTGCCATTGAATGGCCTCCAAGATCGCCAGATTTATCACCTTTGGATTTCTTTATGTGGGGTCACTTAAAAAGCAAAATCTATGCTACTCAGCCAACATCATTAGAATACCTGCGACAAAGAATAATTGTGAATGAGTGCCTTCAAATTACTCCTCAAATATTGCAAAATGTGCGGCAACGTTTTGAGCAAAATCTTTATTATTGCATGGAGAGTCATGGTGGCCATTTCCAACATTTACTTGCCTATCGTGTCAGTTCATTCTTCATTTTTAAATTACTTTGCTGCCAAATGTATTGATCTCCACTAATGATGTATTAGTAGTATTTAAGCTTTAAATCAATAAATCTTCAAAACTACTAAACTGAAGTACATCAATTTTATATCATTATAAATGGAATTTAAAGACCTTTAAAATAAGGTATCACTCGACCTCCCTTTCCATTTAAGATTTTGGGGGTGGTATCACCCCCGCTTAGGGGGCTGCACGTGCTAACGTGATTTTTTGCCAAACTTGTGTCCCCCTCGAAAACAAAATCGACGGGTCTGAGCGTTTATCCAAAAATAAACTGAGCTGCCAGTAAATGCGTCTGTTTCGTTTTCGATGCGCCACCCTGTATTTCATACATTATACGTTTCCCCGTACCTATGCCCATAAAACTTGAACCGGTCAACTCAACGAATGCTTAGGGATAACTGAGTGACTATGCGTGTATTCAGGTATACAGGGTGGCCCATCCATGTGTGTTCAAAATACTACCAATGAACAAATACATTTTGGGAAAATCTAGCAATGGTATGCTATACATGACATTTAAGGGCACATTTCTAAAATATTGGCTAATATACAGGGTGTCCCAATTTTGACCTACATATCAAAGTTGTGATTTTTCAAATAGAATGCCTCAACTTTTATTGCATACTTGGATATACCAATACAAAAGAAGAAGATTGATATAACATACTATGGGGTTTTGGAAATTTGCTACTGAGATGTGAGGTGTTTTGTCCAGAAAACCCGTCTACTTCGGTAACCCCTCAATCCGCCATTTTGAAATTTGGAGTGCTGAATTTTGTATCAAAAAAAACTAACAAACCTCAGCTTTTATCCTGTTTGTTGCTTTTACGAATTTTCATTTTTGCTCATACAGGGTGGTCAAAAACACGATTTGTACATTTTCTCAAAAATTTCATATGCATCACCCTGTATATTTGTGCAAGTTTGGATTCAATTTTTTATAAGCTTTTTTTGATATAAGGTTTGATTCAGATAAAATCACTAGACTTTTGGTTATTAAGCTTTTAATAGAACAACACACCAAAATTAAGGAAAAAATCACATCATTCATGGAGAGAAAAGACAAACAGTGGGCTAGTTCCATATTGCCAATAACAGCTTCAAGCGTAATAGAGAAAAACAACTATAACAACAACATAAACAAACAACTATCACTACTCAAGACCTAATCTACAAAAACTGCTCGAGAATATCTCCACCATGTTCAATACAAAGCCGTAGTCTTAGGATAAATTACCGTTGCACATCCCTCAGCATGTGTTCGCTTATGTTCAAGAAAAGCTTTCCTTCATATTTTCCAGGGTAGATGGTATAATAAACCTCTTGCTTAACGTAGCTCCATAGAAAGAAGTCCATCGGTGTCATATCTGGTGATCTGGGAGGCCAAGATATAGTCCCATCACGACCGATCCAACGATTGTTAAGTATTTTGTACCTGTTAATCTGTTGTCGAAAAAGGAAGGCCCGATAACTTCTGTGCCAATAACTCCTCCCCAAACATTCAAGCTCCATTTATTTTGGAAATCTATTTGCCTAACCCAGTAAGGATTTTCCGTCGCATAATACTGCATGTTATGCCTGTTGACAACACCTATGCTATTAAAAGTTACCCCGTCGCTAAAAAGAACCTTATCCAGGAAATTAGTGTCTTCACTCACTTTATTTGGCATTATTTTTCTAAACTCCATTCGAGCTGCGAAATCCTGAGGAGAAAGCCTCGATGCAATCATAGGTAATATGGATGGTACCTATGCTTGTGCTTGTGCATATATCTGTTTCTGCTCCAATTTTCCGCGCACTTAAATGGAGATTTTCCTGCAACTTTAATAGAACCTTCATCTGATTCGCCTCATTGGTGACACTTGGATTATGTATACATTTCTTATCTTATTCCACTGCGCCACTTAATTCAAAACGTTCTCGTAGTTGGAAAATGTTTCCGGAAAATGGATGTCGCATATTAGAGTACGTTGCTTATAAATTCGAGATGGAAACTATTTCTTTGGGCGTCGCCTAAAACGAACACCATATTCACCATTTCTTCTTTAGAAAAATCTATTTTGAAACACGTTTTTATTATAATGCTCACAAGGCTAATTTTGACAGTTTGTAACTAATAAACGATTAACTGCTGTCTTGATTCGGGTCTAAAGGCCGTTGTCGGTTGGAATTTCTTCCTAACGTTTCGCTAGCATGAGTGGCAAGCAGTGGTGAAGCGTCCATGTAACCATTGTTACCATTGGTAACAGTTAAAAATCTTAAAAATAAATATTTTATGACTAAGCACTGTAAAATAATTTCGTTTATTTGTTTACCAACAGCGATATGTAATAGTAATTCAGTAAATAGCAAATTAGCCCCATGAAAATAATGCGCCCTATACTGTCTAGGTTTTGCGAACAGGATAAAGCTGACTCGCCTCGACTTGGTTGTCGGTTGTTACCATTTTCATTTATGGATACACTTGGTAGTCCATCGGGGACCGCCGGTACCGGCTCGTGTCTGATCGCGGCCGCCCGAGTGCGACTATTAGTGGGCTTGTTACCATTTTTTGATTTGGTTACTCACTTCTCACTCGTCAATAGCTGTTTTGGTTACCGGCTGTTAGTGTGCGTGCAATTAAAGATGGATGAGTGTCGCTGCGTAATCGATCAACTACTTGAAAAGTCATTCTCCTTGTATATTTTTTAAGAAAAATAGGAGATCATTGAAAATGGAAGACCAACACCTATTTTAGATAATTTTAAAAAGGAATAAAAAAACGTAGTTCGATATTTTAAATCAAGTTGGTATATGGAAACTCTTGGTTATGTGGTTGCAAAAAAACAGATTGTATTGTTGGCGATGTCTTATGTTTTATACAGAAAAAAATGGGTGGACCAGCAGCGGAGTTAACGATTTAAATAGTTTTATTATGTGAGATGTGTAGCCAATTTAATTCAGTGTGGTGAAACAAGAATCGAAAGTGGACTAAACCAAGCTTTTAGGCAGCACACTTCTAGATACCGTATGTTTTTTGGCAAAACAGGAATTACCATTCATTTTGACGGGGATGACTCTGACAATAGAGGAAATTACAGGGAATTGTTAACATTCATTGCAAAAAAAGATCAAACATTTTCCGAACATCTAGAAACGTCGACTGTTTTTTCGGACGGCTTGGATTAGTCATAGCGTAAGACGATGAGGTATATCAAGTGCCCCAGATGCTCAGTCCAGGAATGTTTACCTTAATTCAAAAATGGTTAAAATAAAATACCTAAAATAAGAAAAAAACTTATATTTGGGAGGTTCAAAATAAACCTTTTCTGGTAACAGCTTAGGAAAAGTCACGCGTCGCTACTGGTGGCAAGCTTCTTCAGAGGTGCTTCCATTTCTGATGCTGGATGTAGACTCAGTCTACCTCTGAAGAAGCTTGCCACTCGTGCTAGCGAAACGTTAGGACGAAATTCCAACCGACGACGGCCTTTAGACCCGAATCAAGACAGCAGTTTAACAACTTAATCAATTAATCAACGATTTATTTATTTCCAAAGATGATGCGATAATTTAGGGAATTAAGCCGTTCCATAAAATAACCGAAAAATATGTGTCTAGTATCAAAACAGAAGCTTATAAAAAATTGAATCTAAACTTGCACAAATATACAGAGTGATGCATTTGAAATTAAGAGAAAAACTACAATTTGCATTTTGACCACCCTGTATGAGTAAAAATTAAAATTCGAAAGAGTAACAAATAAGATAAGAGCTGAGGTGTGTAGGTTTTTTTGATACAAAATTCGGCACTTCGCTAGAGCATCGTCACAAACTTTTAAAACTTCCTTGTCACCATAGCCATTTTCCCCAATATGACGATCACAGTAATGTTTGGCTATTCCCCAGACTAATTTAATAGGGTTCTGTTGACAATGGTAAGGGCAAAGCCGCAAAACTGGATGTCCATGTTCATGTAATATTTCGTCCTTGATATATCTTGAAGCCGATGGTTTATTAAGCCGACATAGATTTAAAAGCTTGAGTTTAAAAGAGTCATCATCAAAATGTGTCTTTTTGTCTTGCAGCCATTGCTTCAATTGTATTTCACTCCAACTGGAAATGGACAGTTTTTCTATTAAGGCACTATGATAAGAGGCAGTATCCATGATTACTAAAGATGTAACGCTGGTATCAGCTTCTCACATACCCATTTTTTTGAAAGAATCTTTGCCATGGAAGTTGTAGCAAATAACAATGCAGTATCTTAAAAAAACCGTTTTTGGTCCCAGTATAGAGAACAGCATGGTATTTTGCTTGCCGGTACCTTGATGGCCGCTCTTCAAACTCTTTACGTTTTTATCTTACCAAACTCGTTTAAACGACCATTTGGTAAATATCCACGTTTCATCTAAAAAAATGCATTTGAGAACGTCTGATTTTTCACACAGGAGTCGGCGGTTATCTTCTGTCTTGTAGGAAAAACTGCAAGCTTTCAATAGACGCCTTAAAATTGAATCCGAGGCGTTGCATATACGAGGTTGGTCCCAGAAGTACCCGACCCAACGAAGAAAATACAAAAATTTTGTAAAAAATGTATTTATTTTTCAGCACAATCTCCTTTGAGACTTTTCCCAGCGATGTTCAATAAGTTCGATACCCTTTTTATAATAAGAACTGCCTTGCTCCTCAAAATAGCCATTAACTGCCGACATCACTTCTTCATCGTTGAAAAATCTGACCACTGAGCCATTTTTTCTAGTTTGGAAACAGAAAATAATCCGAGGGGGTCAAATCTGGTGAATAGGGTGCATGAGGTAGCAATTCAAACTTAATTCGTTGATTTTGGCCATTGCAATAACGGATTTGTGAACTGGTGCATTGTCTTGATGAAACAACTCGTTCTTCTTAACCAAATGCCGCGTTTTTGCTTGATTTCATCGCTCAAACGTTGCAATAAGTTCTTATAATACTCGCCGTTGATAGTTTTACCTTTTTCAAGATAGTCAATGAAAATTATCCCACGCGCACCCCAAAAAAACCGACGGCATAACCTTGCCTGCAGATGAAACGGTCTTCGCCTTCTTTGGAGCCGGTTGTCCCTTTTGAGTCCATTGTTTTGATTGTTCTTTTGTCTCGACGCAAAAATTCTGCTTTGTTGTTGTGAAACTTCGCTAATCACTCAATTGTAACATCTTCACGACACCGTTCTGTGCTCGATTGTGAGCAATCGCGGCACCTGTCTTGCACACAGCTTTCTGATGTCCAAATTTTCAGAAAATATGCGATGAACCGCACTTTTTGAAATGCCTACTATGTCTGCTAGCTCGCGCAGTTTCAGTCGACGATTATACAGTACCGCTTTGTGAATTTTCTTCACCATTTTTGGAGTCGTCAACTCATTTGGTCGACCACTGCGATGCTCGTCTTGGCAGCTCATACGGCCTCGTTTAAACTCTGCTATTCAATATTTTACTGTTGTAAACGAAGGAGCAGACTCACCCAGAGTAGAATCCAGTTCAGCTTTTATGTTGGTTGGGCTGAGGCCTTTGAAGTAAAAGTATTGTACAACATAACGATGACCAATTTTCTCCACTTTTACAAATTCACTGAAAACGTTCGGTATTGATGGCTGCCAAACAACTACTAAACAAAAACTTGACACATATGCTTTATAGGTTGCATACTTTCTAATACAATGATATTTTTCAAACAACTATCGCCATCTCTAGGTCACGCCGGGTACTTCTGGGACCACCCTCGTATACCTTTTGTTAAGCACCCGATTGAGCGCACAGGCCTACTTCTCAGATCGTAGAAATTATTCCTAATTTCTGTTTTGACGGCATAACTTACATCTTTGGTCTTGCATTTTAGATTTTATGAGTTTACCCTGCGCAGATTAATCTTCAGCGCATCTGCTACTCTCTCCAGTACGCATGAAGTGTGGGTAACAGGAGACCGCCGTTTTCATTCTCTTTCTGAAAATATTCTAAAAAATTCGTCGCGAGCTGATAGCCTTCTCCATTGATCGTATTTCCGGGCATTGTACAATTATATATTGAAGACTGATAACATTACAATTTAAATTGCACTCCGATGTCACTCTAACAAATATGATTGAACTCATTTCTAACGACAAAGTTTTCGAGATGGAGACACACAACTGAAAAAAGTATGTCTTTGAGCGTACCGAACAAACATTCACACACAGGGGTAGGTTGTATGTGTATGTATTAGGGAGATGGAGATTTATAAAGGGATACTGGTAGCCTTACTTTGACCCGCCAAGAATGGTGACTACAAGTACCTATACCTACCATTTCACTATGTCCATTTTCTCACCCTGAACACACTGTGCTATTCTATCTCTTGCTGGACACGCCACTGAAGTCGCGACTGTATATAAAAAAACTGATATCTCTGAGTACAAATTGGAGGAAGAAAATAAGCCACTTATGTAGTCGACTTGATGCATTATCTGAGAACGTGAGCATATAGAAGATAGTATTCAAAAGTAGTGTGGCTTATCTGTTGCTGCTTCAGTCGACGTTAATCAACTGTCGCGAGATGGAACTAAACGTTCGAATAAAATAATAGTGTTTGGTAGTCTTTTGCAGCATCAGCGATTCCTGTCTGACGGATGCGAGATACGACTGCGCCAAAATGGAAGAACCAAAGAAAGAGAATAAGCATTTGGACCACTACTATGAGGACAGTGAAATAGACACGTATTTCTCGAATAATAAGGTCAAGATTCCGGTGACTGAGAAGGTATGTTGAAATAGTTGGTTGTCAATGTATCTAATACATAGGTCATGTACTCTAGTGTCAGACTAGTTCATAAGAAAGTCAGGTTTGGTATCCAGTCAACCCAACAAATTCACATTTTCTAGAAGGAGTCAGTCAAGGATTTGTTTGTCTTTTAATTCTCATAGTCTATAGTGAGGATCAAAGTGCACTTGAGATAATATTTTAAAAAAATGCCAGTGCTTGCAGGTAATTGTGGTGTTAGACGATATCAGGACAACCATGTTTTCTTACATAATCTGCAAAGATCGGCACAGGCCTAATGAAGGTAAATGTTTCCACCGGTAGGTATTATTATTATTGTGGTACAACGCTGTCACTTTTGTAGGCATTGGTAGAAAAATGAGTCAAAAGTATGCACTAAAACTACCTAAGCTTTGACGACATAATTCAGTGCCTGGTTCTTCCTAAGCTTTTCGAATTCGTTGCATCAACCAGATTAACCAGTATTAAGATATCTTTTCAAATGTACCAAATTTGTCCGCAGATGGAAGTGACTTTAGAATTTCAGATCACCTTGGAATAACATTTAATTATAAAATAACAAAACGTCGAATACCTAATACCTAATTTAATTTAGACCGATTACACCTACCGGCTTATTTCAGTTCTAAAATTTAATCAAGAATGTAAACTGGAACTTTATTGATGCTCACATATGTTGCGCTGCAAAGTTTAATACTTTACAGGAAATAATAACAGTTAGCATGAAGAAAACCGTCCCGATTAAATAAAACTCAAGGCGATCTTTTAATGACAGTAGATGCATGCGGTTTTTCCAAGAACTTCGTAAAATGAGGGAAACGCGGAATTCAACTCTGATGTCACGAATTATAAAAATTACTATAGAAAGGAACTGAACAAGGCAAGGAAACCCTATAACGATAAACATCTCAATGAATCTCGTAACAGAAAAAAAGGTTGTGGTAGATTATAACTAACAATCAAAATAGATAAAACTCATATAGGTACATTACTCACAAATTTATATCCTTTACACTTTGTAAACAAAACTAATAACGTTTTCACTTTCTGCCTTGTGACATACATTGAATTTCGTGATGCAATATAATTCTCAAAAATATTGACAGCAAGGATCCATTTAACATCACATCACAACTTATAAAATCGATTAAAAACCTCATCTATTACCGCTAACCAAACTAATAAATATCTGTATAGAACTGGGAGGATTTCCTACTCTTTTAAAAATTGCGAGAAAAATACCTCTACATAAAGGTGGTCGGAAGAGGAAGTAGATTATCGTCACTTGTATCAATTCTTGCTAAATGTTTGAGTACTTGCTAAGTAAACAATTAATCAATACTTTGACAACAACAATTTGCTATCTTCATTGCAATATGGACTTAGATCCAGGAAATCAACATCATCGACTGAAACTTGATTGCATTTCACACGACATATTACTCAAATATTGTTTCAGTACAAGCAGTATCAAGCTCATTATATTAGTATCTCACATAGAGACATCAATATGTGTTCTTGAATAAAAATATGTATACACTAGACTTCATACGTTATGGTGTTCCTCACGGCTCTATACTAGGCCCAAAATTATATTTAATTTACATAAATGATATTGAGAACTGTGCTCCTCATTCAAAATTTATTCTGTATCCATATGAAATGACCAGAATGTCCCAATCAATTATTATTAAATTTGAATGGTGATAAAACTAAAGAGCTAAACGTTCAAACAAAAAATAGCCTAAATAAACCAAGTAGTAGTAATGCATCATGTATATAGTGCGTCCCAGATTCGGTTCTCTATACAGGGATATCGTTATACCTACAGAAAAGGTTAAGTGGGGAAAGTCTGAGAGGAAACTTAGTGTCAGAATAATATCACGTTTTGGATTTACTGGCAAAAAACAAATTCCGCCGTTTTCGGTTTTTCGCTGATATTTTCAAAACCAATTGACCGATCGTAAATCTAAGCCGCCTATCGAAAGCACTAAGTTTCCTCTAATACTTCTCTCATTTAACCTTTGCTGTAGGTATAACTGGAGCCGAGATCCCTGTATAGAGAAGCAAATCTGGGACACACTGTATGAACTATAAAGAAAATCAAGCAAACTTATTTTTCTAATAAGGAATTTACCTCAAATGGTGATACAACTAACGCTGCTAACCTTCTACAACATGAGCTATGCTGTATTTAATTGGGGTCACTCATCCCATGCCAAACACGTTTTTGGAGATGCATCAGAGTTGTTGCTAATCTAGGGTATAGGGAATCTTTTATAGAATCTTTCGTTTCCTTTGGCGTTTAGACATTGCCATGTGAATTTATCCCGGGATGTCTCAGTTATATAAAGCATAATGAATCACAATATGCAAACACTTCAGACTTCAACAGCTAGATTGATAGATATAATAACTTCTCGAGTAGTCGCGTTAACCAATATTCTTCCCATTTCGTCCCTACTTCTCCTGTCCACCGGAGGGATTAGGAGTTTGGGTTGTAGGTTTTCTAAAAATTTGCGTTTATATGAATAGTACCTGCGTGAAATAAGGTTTCTTCTTAAAAAATATAACATTGAAAACATTAAGTGGCAACTAAACATAAGTTCAACAATGGGCCATACATGCGGTATCACTAATACTGGGAATCAAACGGAATTGGAATCGTAACCCATCGGAATCGAAACCACCGGAAACGATTCCTTCAGGGCTATGGGAATCGATCCCATTCCTACTGAGATACCGTTCCTTCGGATCGTCTCGTTCTGGACTGACTCTACTGTCGAGCCTGTTTTTTCAGAAGGACGACTGTTCGACGACAAACTTTATATTGCATCCAAGACTTCCAAGTTACTAAACTTCATACAGATACGTTTTTTTATTTTTCAGAGCGGCTTCAACTTCCGCAAACTATGGGCGTTCACAGGACCTGGGTTTCTAATGTCTATCGCTTACTTAGATCCTGGAAATATAGAAAGCGATCTGCAATCAGGAACGGTAGGTAACTACAGACTATTGTGGGTGTTATTCGGTGCTACAGTCCTTGGGTTCATAATGCAATCGTTGGCCACGAAGCTAGGTGAGTACTAGTCTTTCATCCATTTATACGTTGATTTAGATTTTCCCACCGGAAGTTGGTAAAACTCCTTATAACCTGCGCGCAAGGGTTGTCCTGCGGGTTTTGGATTTATTGTAACATACCTCAAGATATTCTTCTGTCTAGTAGTTATTTTTTTGAGGTAAATAGATAAAATTCTTCTTATTATTAACATAATTGAAAATCTCATAAATTTATGCATTCCACGATTTCGTTAATGAGATATTAGTTCTTTTTTTCCATGCCACTAATGAGGAACTATAGCAATCGCGAAAATTTTCCAAAATATGCTTGGATATTAGATGACATGTACATGTAGAAAATGAAATACCACATCATTCAGTTCAGTTACTACTTTGGCCAAGAAAAAAAATTATTAGTTTTTGAAAATATATCGAGTGGCGGCGGAGCTAGAGGCAGATTTCCAGATCGGCTTAAAATCGATGATAATAGAATTTTTGTGGACTAAGATTTGTCTAAATATCTTCAAATATGGCGGAGCCGCTAGCCGTATCTTTTCAGACATTTGACCAAATAATATATAAACAATTGACAATATATGAATTATGACATCAAACTTCTTATCTTTAGAAGCTCCATTCAAATATGCAATAAAATACAGGGTGTTCTATTTAAAAAAAATATGTTTGCTATGGCACGAAATTACAGCTCATAAAACTATTTTCTGGTTTCGTTGGGACACACTGTATATATGCTGGCTTTAATGATGAAAATTGTTGCATACGGAATGCTATTAACAACGAAGGTTGTATAACCAGCCGAATTTGCACTTGTTGACAATTGGTGAAAATTTATAGTATGTGGAAATCCAGATTAGAACCATACTTATCACATTTATATTTTTCTAGGTGTAGTAACAGGGTTGCATTTAGCCGAAATGTGCCATAGGCAATACAAAAGAATACCTAGATTGATATTATGGGTGATGGTGGAGATAGCAGTAATTGGCTCTGATATGCAAGAGGTCATTGGGACTGCTATAGCAATATATCTGCTATCAAATAAAATGTAAGTTATATCTTAAACTATCAAATAATAATCTGGTCAAACTTCAAGCGCTGATTTCTTGGATGATTCTAAGAAGAAGAGTACATAAACCATCCCTAGATCAGTGTTAGAGTAAAACATAACAAACACGTGATCAGCACCACCACAGAGTTGCAGTCAGGCACTTGTGACTCTTTCCATATTACACATATAAGCCGCATTTTATTACAAAGCAGTTATTTATTTCAGTCGTAATTTTGAAAATGATACACCTAGTAATAGAATTTGAGATCGACAAGACAAGAGAAATATCATTTTGTCCCTTAAACATTCCAATCCTAATAGACGTTCTTATTATAAATTCGACTATTTTAGCGGTATTCGGTTATTCCATCTACTTGCTTGTTCGGATGTTGGTAACTTTCATGCCTTTATCTTAGTTACCAAATACATAACCTTTCCGCCACGTAGCTGACTTAGCATTTCTGAGATACCGATGATGGGAGCTTTTTGGAATACCCAGGATACCGAAGCTGAATACATTACGTGGCCTGATTTCAACCGGCAATTCTGAGATAAAATAATCATATAAACATAACATATTTATATCTGAGAACGCTACAGACACATCGCTGAAAAAAGAGCAAATAAGTATAGAAAAACCCGTTACTAAAACCACATTTTTTGGCGATTTAGGCGGACGGATTTAAATAAATAATAAAATGTTTCCCCTCAGGGTATGGGTCTTATTAATTCACTTTTTACCTGATTTGATCTAGATTTCCTACAATACACATGTACCTAGTAAAGTTCAACAGACAACAACGAAATTGTCTAAAGGATGAACAAAAATTATCGGTTTTAGAGAAACTTTAACAAACCGCTTTTTGTTTAGAATGATCTAAGAAACTTTGACAGTAGCGAAAAACTCAATTTTTTGAGTTTTTTTAAAAAATTGTTCAATTAATTTTGGCACTGGCAACATGCAAATTCGATAACTTTTTGCATAAGATTATGCAAAAAATAGGAATCAGAATATTTTTTCGGCCGACTACCGGGACGATATTGTTCAACTCGATATCGTGGTCAACGCGACAACGTACTTTTAAAAAGTTGAAATCGAAACAGCTGAGTACTCGTAAAGCCTTTTTAACTTAAGAAGAATTTTCTTAGTGCTTACTGCATACAACAAAAAAAATTTGACGACAGTAAGTCAGTAAGTGAAGTTTATCCGTCTCGATGACAACCATGCTAGACGTCCACTTTGTGTAGAAAACTGTTTGAGGGAACAAGTTGAAACCTGATATGCGAACAAATGATACCTATGGGCACCCATGCAGGCATTATAAGCTTTCGATCATTGGAGTGCCATGTTTATGTCTGACATTGTACAGATATATGATTAAATGATATTATAGAATCTAAGTTTTTCATTACAGTAAACAAGATAGTAAGCAAACTATATAAATAAAATGATATTATCCGATATCACCTTCTGAGACAAAAAATATATTGCCTGAAAAACTTTATATTAGAGCCTACGACTTTTGTATTTAACCTATTTTCTAAAAGGTCATACAAAACAGTTCCTAGGTAGTTCAATTAATGGCGGTACGAACATTAAGGCACAAAGTACAATTCTTCAGACTTTCGATCAATATACCGAGAGAACAATCAACATGTTTCTTCATGCGATGACCTAACGCTCGCGAGGTTATCTAGGTTTTGTACGCGTCGCAGAACCGAACTTTACTGAAGAATTCGGAGTACATAAAGCGTTCATTCGCTTCATCAAGAGTTGTTACATCCCGAGTATTTTGGCAGCTTTACAAGGCCCTAGTTCAACCGCTATAAGCCAAGATGTCATTTTATTTTCACTATAATATCTCCTTACATTTTGTTCTCGAGATCAGAAGCAGTATTGGCTCTACTGGTAGTGCAGAGCAGTTATATGGTCGTTCACTGTTAAAGCCGGCACGGGAGTTACGTGAAAATCAATGTAATGTCAAATATCGATAATGTCAACTTGTGTACTAGGTAGCCGCTAGCGCAATTCGCGGTTACTCGCTGTGGGGGACACCTTTGGCGGAATATCACAACGACCTATAGTATAGAACTTGCAGGTTAGGCCATAGACGATATAAATGGCCTCCAATAGTGCCATCTCTAAAGCAGAGGTTACATCACATTAGATCCACGCCCAAAGGCAACACGCTACTTCAAGTGAGCATGAATTAAATGTCAGCTAGATTCATGGTGACATTTTATCGGAAACCCTACATAATGTCATGAAAACATACTCATTATAATCGATATAATCCTACTTTTTAAGTTACCTAGTACGGGTACGAAATAAGCTTAACAGCAAACCTCCACACAGACAAGATGATAGAGTTCAAGGTGACATTATTTGAATGCCAAAGGAGCTTATTTGTGACTGCCCAAACTGTCTAATCCAAACCAAGCAGTACGTAGTTACGTAGCAGATACCTACTTTTGTTGTGCGGACCTCGTCTATTATCCCGAAATCAAGTACACGCTCAAATATTATGTATAACATCATACAAATGTTTGCCTATAATTGATCTTTCTAGTTCATAAATGAAAATGGCGCACTCGTACTATGCTTTATTCATAGCAGAAATTAAATTGATCATTTATTTCACACGATTTGTTTCCAGTTTAGTAGCAATCACTCAGTATCGATACCAAATGCCAATTTTGTTTAAAAAAAGCATGACCGTTCTGCCTCTCCTAGTGCAATTTGTAATGATTTGAATTTCTAAATGCTGTAATTTCCAGTCACTTTTTCAACCGTTTTCAGATGACCGAAAAACAGACCTAAATAGATTATGCAAACATTTTCCTTTTTTGTTGGTGTGTCTTACATAGATCTAAGAGTAATGAATTAAGCACAAAAAGTTGACTGCGCTATTCGATGCAGTAGACGTGTTTATACTGTGCTGCTAAAATAGTTAAAATTATGTTGGAAATTGTGCATGAAAATTTCCCGTGTTTTGTTGCCTGATCAGTTTATCCGTTCCTGGTTTGCATTCCATTGCATATAGCTTTTTCATCATGGCTCGGCAAGCTGATAGGAGGAGTGAGGATGAATTGTATATGTTAATTAAGGAAACAGTTGCCAAATTGTGCACGTCTGAGGAATTTATACCACAGTTAACACGTTCAATTACAGACGGGTAGAAATTGAACGAACAATACAAGGAAATAACGACAAAACTTCAGGCATACGATGAAGTCATTGAAATAATACTTTCTAGACAGGAAAGCTGAACCAATACACTGAGATTTTGCGGCGTTATATTGCAATTCGTGAAGGACAAAATCGATCTAGAAATCAATCCATCGCCTGTAGAAAGTTGTTACTGAGTCTGAAAGAAATAAGTTAAGGCCTGTTCTAGTAAAATCGTCTTCGTCCTTCGTCCGAATCACGAGCAGAGAACGATATTCATTCTAGTTCGTGTTTGGCATTTTTTTTGACCGATTTTCGGAAATTACAAAGCTATTTATTGCGTCCTTGGTGTAGTGGCAACATTGTGTAAAAAATTCATCGAAGTTCGAGCTGTACTTCTCAAGTTATAGGCTGTTATAAGATTAGCGGACAGACGGACAGATCGATGGAAATGACTGACGTAGTTTTTCGTTATGTACATGTCACATAACACCCAAAAAACATAATACATAATTTTCGTGATTACAATACTTCCCCTTCAGTAGGCGTGGGAAGTCAAAAAACGTCATTTTTATGCAAAAGACTTACTTGTGATCAGCTCTCATGTGTATTTGGAAAACAAATGTGTTCAAAATCTTCCGCTACTACCAAAGTCGCTGTTTCAGAATTTCTGGTTACCAGAAGATTGAAAAATGAATATTTCTATAAAATAACATTAACAGACCAAGCGTATTTACTATGCCGCTGAAACTTCAGAATATGCATATACAAAATTTCTGTCACTAATTTGATCATATCAAAAGTTAACAGACAGTCAAAATTTTAGCATGTCAATCCCTCTAATGCAACATAAAAAATTCGCTGCATAATATATGTATATACGAAGGTCGACGTTTTCTGTGTAAGTTTGCTATCGATAAGGGTACGCAATACTACAATAAATACATACGTAAGATTTGGGGAAATATGGTTGCAGAAGTGTGTTCCGAAAACTTGTTGCGAACTAAACATAAATTCTAATAACCTATAATTTTTCAACTATTAAGTTAATACCTCCAAGAAAGTGCCATAATACTTGCATGCTATTTTAAATTTTAACTCTTTAAAATTACTCTACAAATTCAATTTAGGAATTGTCAGATGTCAATATTCTGGGCAGTTAGTTTTTGCAAGACCGCACGAGTCTTGCAGCACAGTCTTGGTCTTGCAACAAAAAAGGCAGCCTTGCTCGCAACACCAAGACCAAGACTGGTCTTGCGTCTTGCGTCTTGAGAAGCCCAAATGGCGCACGACTAAAGTCGCCTGCACAAATGAGCGCTAAGTATCTTTATAGCCGTCGAACAGTAATCAGTACCATAGCTTACGAAAGTTGTCCTAGATTATTTCCACCAAATATTAAAAATAAACTGACACTGCTTTTTCTTCAATTATACCTGTATTCATTCTTACACCAGAACGTAAAGGTCATAATTTCAATATTTTTGAAATCTATAATATTTTTTCCACTGATAGCCATTTTACTTTATGGCCTTATGTCAAGGTACAAGAATTTTCTCTGCTGGCAAACAATAAAGGTACAGAGTGTACTGAAGTTAACTAAGATGCATGATGCATGTACATTTGTCCAGAGTTGCATGTAAAGCAGAGAGTCGACCTCCTTGACTTAATAACCCAACACTTATTGAGATATGCTTGGTTCGACTTTACGATGATATTAGCCAAAGCTGACTTTAGGATTAGTACATGCAATACTTTTAACAGTTCGAAATTGGTTTTAGCTATACCAAAAATTAACCACTTTACACGTGAGGTAGGTGTTACGTAAATTCCTTTGAAAATACTGTAAATCTCAATATCTTAATGCTTTCAAAGAAGAAGTAAAATGAACCTTGAAAAATTAAGATGGGTCCACAGGTTACGAAGATATGTTGAATAAACGTTCTACAACCTGGCAGCCACTTTTAGATATGGCTCAAAACGACCTGGATTTCGATCGCGTGACCCCATTTCTTATATATTCCTATAGGTGCTTGATAGTGCCCCGTATTCAAACTGAAACTTTTCGGCTCAAATACCAACGTTAACGTTCACGTATGCGCTGTAAAAGTCTCTATTGTGTAATTACAATAATACCAATTTATTTTCAGTGTACCCCTGTGGGCCGGCTGTTTGATAACAATAATAGATACTTTCACATTTCTCTTCTTGGATAAGTATGGACTGAGAAAATTAGAAATGTTTTTTGGGCTCTTGATAACTGTAATGGGGATCACCTTTGGTTATGAGTATGTTGTCTCAGGACCAAACTCTATGGACGTCGTAAAGGGACTTTTCATACCGATGTGCAAAGACTGCGACTCTAAGGTAAGATTCACATAATTTGCAGTTGTTTTCATAAAGGTCCCCCTCCCAACTAATTTTGAAACGGGCAAGTCAGTAAGCTGAAATAGGGTAGAGTTAACGCCAAGAATGCAGCTCGTGGTTCGCTGGTTCGAATCTAGGCCTAGTTAATTTTGTGCCATGGATGTTGTGTTGTGTGCTGTCTACATCTCGCACGTGGGTGCAACATTCTTGGGTGATGCGTCAATCGATGGCATAATTGTCTCTCTTGAGAATTGTTTGTTGGACCATTCTTTTGGAAGCAAATTACTTTGAATATCTAAGACAGCGGTTCTCAAACTTTTCGGATGACAGAACCCTTTTTGGAAACGAAATACTTCGCGGAACCCTTGAATAAAACCAATACCTTTATATGCATCATTTATTTATAATCGTAATATGAATAGGTTAGTTATTAATCCTTTTAGGTAAGTAGACAAAAAACATTTAAGAAAAAAGTTAAAAATCTAATGTGAGGTATGAAACTGTTTCTTTTTTTTTCATCAACTGGTTGATGTCGGGTTGGATAGGAGAGAGTTGACGTGTCATGTCAGGTTCGGAGTAACAGTATCGTCGAACATAGGGGAAGGTGTTGTACCTTGGACCCATTTTTGTAAATCGTGCTGTATTTTTTTTGGTTTTAAGTTTTCTGAACTGATTTTGCAGAAATAAGGAGGCTGTGGCATTAACTTATTAATTTATTTTATATTCGGACATGGAATATTAAACTAAAAACTCACAAGCACACTATTTAGTGAGTAATACAAACCGGTCCAAGGTACAAACTCGTCATGTACCTTGGTCCACAAACGATTGTACCTTGGTCCAAAAAAGGAAAGTAATGAGAGAAATAAAACTTATTTTAATATTCTACACGCAATTATTCTAAAAATACTTTAGGCTTTAACTAACATTATAATTGTCAAAATTAACTTCAAAATATAATAGTGAGCTATGTCGAGCAGTCCCTTTTAGGGTTTTCGGTTGCGGTAGCTTACAAACTAAGTCGGTAGGACAAAAGTCGTATGTCTCTGCAGAATCATTCACAAATTTATCGGTGTTGTTAACTCGCCGCAGGTACCTAAGTTCATTTTCATCGCCTATGCTTATGATCTCACCAACATAGTATTTTATTGTTTTTTTCCCTGATACTTTTACCAGTACAAAATCACCTCTATCAAATTGATAGTCTTCATTTAACTGTTGCAAAGTACCAATTTCTAGCCATTCTCTATCTTCAGAGATAATGTCCTCCCAAGTTTCATGCTCTCCAGAAGATAATGAAGGAATTGACTCACTTTCGGAGGAATCAAGTGCTCTTTTTTTCACCGTGACTTTAACTTTCTGATCTTTCTTTGATAAATTTTTGGTAACATTTTTAATAGTCTTCAAATCGCGTTTTCGTTCTAATTCCTCTTTTTCTGGTGTATCCGTAAGAATACGCGACTTGCCTTTTGGACGACCACCAGTTCTCTTTCGCATAGGTGCTTTAGGGAATGGGCGCAATGTCTCAGGGGTGATGACTGACTGATCTTGTTCCGATGAAGTACAGGAAACTAAGAATGTATCTGAACTTGTAGATGGTAATCCATCCGCACTTGCGGATGGTAATGCATCACTACTGGAATTAGATTTCTCAATTAACGGACGGTCTGTTACATAACTGGCTAAGAACTCGTGGTCTTGGAAAATGTTTTCGTCAAAAGGATAAAGACCTGCTACTTTGAATCCCTTTTGAATATTTAAAGGCGTAAAGGCCTGCGGGAATGCTTTACCAATTAGTTCCGCTACGTCATATATCGTGATTGGTTGAGCAGGGTGCATTAACATCCATTCACTACAAGCTTTGTTATAGTATGTTTTTAAGGGCCCGGTCCAAGGTACAACTTTTGCACATGGTCCAAGGTACAATTTTTACAATAAAAATTGTTCTGGTTAAATAAACAAACAAAAATCAATGTATACAAAAACTATTCACACATATGCAAGGAGGAATGAAAGATGTACAAAAATAACATGAAACAATTTACTTACCCTTTAAAATAACACAGGTGATCAAAGATTATTATTTGATTAATATTTACTTTGACACTCAATAATATGCAAACCTGGTATAACTTAGAACAGCCCGCCTTCTTGTCAAATTACTTTGGGCGACATCTGTAGTGTAAAAGTATGTAACTCATCGGTGATATGGGTGAAAGAAAACTGTAAGAGGAAATAGGGGAATTCGAAGCGGTCCGAGGTACAATATGGTCCAAGGTACAACACTCTCCCCTACACTTTGTTATATCTAACACACATTGTTTCATCAAATCCTCAGCGATAGTGTGCGCTTTATTTGCTTGCGATAGCTAACTAAATACATGGCTTTTTCATTGACAGTTTGCGTGGTGTGCATCATAGTTTTCTGACTTCTCAGCAACTCCTCTTTTTTACGAAGAAAAAAATCATTTTTCTTATCCTTAAACTCATAGTGTACTGTTTCTAAATGTCGGCGCATCTTGGCAGGTACCATGGAAGTATTAGAAAGCAGTTTACTACATAACAAACAGAGAGGTGACCCGTTGGAATCAACAAAACTGATATATGATTCATTATATTTTCTTTTTTTCGGCTTTGAAACCATGCTGATTGACGTCGTCGCATCACCGTCTTGATCTGGAATTGCTGCATCCTCCTGCCTGCGTACTTCTTTCGAATCTTCGCCTTCGTCGGAAGATTTTGTTGCAACACATTTGAGGTCTTTAAGCCAACTTTCCATTGTTATTAATCACAAATAGTTTGAATGTGCAGCAAAACGAACACAATAATATTATCTTTTGGTACACAACTCGAACTCAAAAACAGCACGTAGGTACGTTATGCGAATCTCATGACTGTACGACGTAACATGTAATGTGAACTGATACACTGAACTGATTGTACGAATCGTCTGAAGGGCGCGCTGTCGCAGAGTTCGACGATGACTGAGCTCGGCTACATCACGTGATCAGTCGTGCAACAGTGCGTATCTACACCCAGAAAACAGACCGGCGAGAATATTTGATAATTGATAGGCGCCTTTCGATAAGGCCGCTCCACACGCATGCGAGAATCTGCCAGAAAAACACGATGAACGTGAATGTGAAACATTGACATTCCTAGAATGTTTTCAAGCAAAAACGATTTTGTGGAATACAAATTTAAAAGACAATAAAAATAAACTAAACGACTACGATGCGTTGAAACGCGCTTGATGGAATTACCCATTAAAGAAATCGGAAAAATCTGGCTCTCGTGTAGGCGATGCTTATCAGCATATGAGTATATGGATTTCTTTCTTGGGGATAGAACTAAATGTAAACGTGTCATCCATCACCTTATTTTTCTGTACGTCTTTTAAATTTGATTTTTATCTTTAATAGATATAGGCGTAAGTATAATATGCCAATACGCATAGTAATAAGCTTTTCGCGATATTTAATTCTGCGTCCATCGTCATCGAGCGTGAGAACCTTGCAAGTGTGGGCCCAAAGAAGCACTCGCCGAGATTATCGTCAAGATTCTTGCGTGAGTGTGTAGCGGCCTTTAATCCCAACCCAAGCTTCGGCAAATGTAGGCAGTAGCAGTCAGCAGACCACGCGACGTAAAAGTGAGTAAACGCGGCAGACGCAACCGTATTGTGGGTAGTACTCTTTCTATCTCACTCTTTTATATTACAGTATATTATTATATTATATAGGCCAAAAATTCCCGCGGAGCCCCCATCCAGGCTTCGCGGAACCCTAGGGTTCCGCGGGGCATATTTTGAGTATGGCTGATCTAAGATAATATTCGTATAAACTCAATTTTTCGTTAGCAATATGCAGACGTTATTGGAATTTGACACTTGTTTTAGACAGGGAAAACTTTTATAGCAACTTTCAGGCTCGAAGTATGAGATTCTTCATAAACAGCATTCTCACTAAAATCCCTTAGTAGTCCGCCATGCATCCCACCACGGAATTGCATTACAGCATTCCGTTACGGTAGAAAGTTTTTTGTTTTCCTTGAGTGTACGTTTTGGTCTGGACATATTGCGATTGATTTTGAAATCACGTTATATAGTGATATTTATTTATAGGTACTTCTCCAAGCAGTTGGTGTAATTGGAGCAGTAATTATGCCGCACAATCTGTATCTCCACTCTGCCCTAGTGAAAAGTAGAGATATTGATCGAAAAAATCCAGAAAGGTTGAAAGAAGCCAACATGTATTATTACATTGAGAGTGCAATCGCCTTAATTTGCAGTCTAATAATTAATATCTTCGTTGTATCAGTATTTGCCTTCGGCTTATTCCAGAAAACGAATGGAGACATCGTAAGTATCATCGAATATAATAATAACCATCTTGGTAACATTTCTTTACTAACCTAAGATATCACCATCGCTGACCATAATGATCGTATTGTGTTTTTTAGGAGTATCCATTACGGCGGAATAATAGCTGATTATTTTAATATTTCAAAATTCCTCATGTCGGCAAGTAACACATCATAATTCTGACGGATCCGTCAACACCAAGTAGATAGAGAGCCGTACTTTGTTTTGGTTTATTGTACGCTACAGAATCATCTTGTATTTGATAAACACTCTTTTATTTAAATAGTTAATGTGCATAAAAAATGCTACAAGCAAGTTTTACTAGGTTTACACCCAATTCATTATTGCCAACGTTACATACTGCAAATATTGCACTAGCTGATCACCTGTTCACCACGGTAGACATCAAAACGTGATGGATGTTCGTGAAGTAGGGTTTAATTCTCCAAAAACAAGTAGCTTTTCTCTCACTACATAAATAATGACAAAAAAGTACATATAGTCCTTTTCACGGTTTTTGGCGGATACATTACAATACGACACGAAATAAGTAATCAGATTGACTAACTATTCCATGGGCTCTTACACATTCACTCACAGAAAATACTCCAAGGAATTTAACATAGTCTGTTGACACTGTAGTTATATCTCTAGGGATTGCTGTTTTATATCGAAATTAAACAAAAAGTAAGCTGGCATAATGACTGCTGCATCTTGTGCATAAACGCAGATACGAAAATATCGCGGCAACAGTTTATACATCAAGCTACATTATTGACTTCACCTATATAGGTTTTTCATGGCGAGTCACGGCCTTACTAAGAGAATTACTTTCATACATCAATCTCCCTCACAGATACATATTATGGAATCGGTCTCTGTGCTGGGACATTTGTTTGTGTAAACTTAAAGACATACTTTTTTTTTTAGTTTTCGCCATGAAATGTCTGTCATTATGACAACTTGCTTGTTATGTGCGTGTGATTAATGTTCTCCGATGATTTAAGATATAAAACATAGTAGTGTCTAAGAATAAAACTACAGAGTCATCAGTGTGTATTAGAAGTATTTTCAAAAAGTCAGTGAAAACAACGGTGCTCTATCACCTGATTCATGTGTGTGTGCAAGAGCGAGTAGCAGCTGAGTTACGGATCAGCTACGCATATGGTACCAATAGACGACGTAACCGCCGAAAACGTAAATGCTACATTATTTTGCATTTCTATGTAAATACTAATTGCTAAATAATTCTTAATATCGCATTATGTTTTTACTTTTAGCTTGACCAATGTAAATCTGCAAACAACACAAACCTGTATAAGTTAGCCGAGGAAGAATTCAGCGTGAGTAGAGTTATTTCCACTATTTTATTAAACACACAGACATTTTTCTTACTTCTTAGCAGTGAACTGTCAATAGAAAGAAACCAAGAAGCCAGACGGACATTTAATTCACCGTTAGGATATGTAATGGAATTCCGTCGTCTCAAAAAAGCACTATATTATAGTTGTAGACAAATGCCTAAGCTGGAACAGATTACGAGTAGCATGCGTGTGCGCGGTTCTCACTGTACTGAGCAACAGCAGCTAGACAGTGAAGTGCTATGCGTTATGCAGCTTCTCAAAGTCTTTTTTCTGAGAAAAAAATAGTGACAATTAGGGATTCGAAGAAACCGTTAAGCATTTTTGAATGAATTTTTTTCTGGATTTTGAGCACCACAAAGGCTCCAACCTTTACCTATTATTTCAGGTTTATTGTTATCGACTTTCCAGTAAAAATAAATGTAGAAATCGACGATTCCTGACACGTTTTTGGAATAATAAATTAACAGTTATGGCAAATTAGCCAAGTAAGGTCTCTTTTCAAGGTATTTTCATCAACTACAAACATTTTTGGATCACTTATACCAATAATTCTATAACTATTTGGATATACGGGAAAAAGTGATTTTTCCAACTTTGATGTTTAATAAAAAAAGTTAGCCAGACAACTTTTTTTATCTCTTGGTGAGGAGCCTTGTCATATACCCGCAACTCCGATGTTAAACCACTCATTGCATTTTTTTCGGTTCGATTTTCATCTTGGTCTATTAGTGCTTTTAATGTAGATGCAGTAATGTGCGTTTTCGCGTATACCATACATTGGTTGTCTATGTTTCGAAGTAGACATGCGTAAAAAATATCAACGACACGTATACAATGATGAAGACAATGTAAAGAAGAAGCAATAAAATGAGGGAAGGCCTACTCACAAACGTCGAAACATCAGTCAACCGGCAAATCCTTTCGTTGTCCTACAACGGCCTTGCCAATATAAGTAATGTCTTGATGACGCTGGCGGCGCTGAATAAAATCGGTCAAATCGGGGAATTTTGTTTCCAGGGCGTATTTTATTTAAGAAATACCGCTGAATAATTTAAAACGATATCTATCTGTATTTATACCTTTTCAAATTATTAAAAAATCAGTTTTCAGGCGTTGAATATATGCAAGCGAACTAACTGAACTATTACTTGTTATTGTCTACATTGTTCACATTGTATACATGAATATCAAGGCGTATACGATTGCAAATTTTTATACGCAATGATGTACTTTATATTATGTATACCATGCGCCCATCCCAGTGTAGATGTCACGACCTTTTGGGAAATAATCTGCCAAATATTGTGTTCTCCAAAAGTATTATTTTCTTATTTTTCTCCACAGCAGGTGTTGAATATTTAATTGCCTTTCAGAGTGAACAGCTGAATGAATATGTTGATGCCGACATATACAAAGGAGGCATATTCCTAGGATGTGCTTATGGTGTTGCCGCCTTGTACATCTGGGCAGTTGGAATATTAGCAGCCGGGCAAAGCTCCACGATGACCGGGACATACGCTGGACAATTTGCTATGGAAGGATTCCTTAATCTAAGATGGTGAGCGTTAAAGTTATTTTGGCTGGGCATTGGTTATTGGTCATACCAGAACCAAACTGTAACTTGGTTATTTTTAATAACATATCCTTAGTTTTACTTTTTCGACTCTACCTTTTACCAGTATTTTTGATTATGTCAAACTAACAATTACAGGCCAGAAAACAATCGGGATATCAGCATCAATACTAAAACATGTTAAATCACTAAATAATGAATTTAAAAGCTATACAAATAAGAACTGGTGCTATCAAAAGCTTTTGACTTTGAGGATTTGCTCCAATACACTCTGCAGTTAAGGCAAAGTACTTGATAAAATATATACCCTAATTTTCAGGTCAAAATGGAAGAGGGTCCTTTTTACAAGAAGCTTAGCAATGGTGCCAACTTTTTGTACAGCGTTCTTCAGCAATTTATCTGATTTGACAAGCCTAAATGACTACCTGAATGCTGTGATGAGCTTGCAACTACCGTTCGCCCTCATTCCCACCATTGCTTTCACTAGCAATCCAAAAATCATGGGATCTTTCACAAATGGCATGTAAGTGGTCCAAAATTTAACTACATCTCCGACCAAGACTCATTTTAGCAGATGATATGAAAAAGATGGGGGAGGAGTATCTATGATTGCATACCTTTCTGTATGGAATATATATTTATATCATTTTGGAAAATATTTGAAAATGTCATTAAAACACCAACAACAGTAACCAGAGGGAGTTAAAATGATGAGCCTACTCCGGCACGGGTATTACGTATCTTAAAAAGTGACATTTCGCGTATTTTTTGACACTTATTATTTTTTTTTGACATTACGTAGGTTTTTCTGCAAAATTTCAACTTGGTCCAAGCTATTCTACACTTTTTTGGAACTCGTGTTGTTCGAGCACACGTGGAATGAACTATTTGCAAACTAAAAACTACTTAGTCTGTAAGATGATATTTCGTTGGCTTTTTGAGTGTTTTTACATCATAGCGGTGGACCTAGACATTGTTGGGCTTGCGCGTCACCATTTTGAAGTAGCGACAAAAACAAGTGAACTTCCACCTGGCTGATAGATAAATAGAATATGTTGGCATTGTCATTTTGTAAATTTAAAGAACCAACCAAGGCAGCAGAAACGTCAGTGATAATAACAAATATTACATTATATATTCTCTCGTTTCAGAATAATAAAGATCATCTCTCTAATGCTGAGTGTAGTGATAGTAGTCATCAACATCTACTTCGTGGTGGAAAAGCTGTTGAACCTGTCGCTACAGTTATACATCGTATCAATTATATACATACTGGCCGTCTGCTACTTCATTTTCATCATGTATTTGGTGATTCATTTGTACATTGCGATGGGGGGGACCTGGATGAGTGATCACCCCGCTATTGCCAAGTTCGTGATCGTACCCCTGGGGCAGCAGATCATAGATACAGAAAAGAAAGAGCAGAACGGAGTGTGATTTTTATGTGTAATACCTGTTAATTCATTGTTTTTATTTTATGTAGATAAGACGATTTTGAATAAAATAAATTTTAATACTTTTGAAATAATACTCATACTTGTTAATGATCGATGGGTTAGGTGTGAGAAACTTCAGCGATATGTTAAAAACAATTTGAGAAGTTATTCTGCGTTTCTGCCTTTATAGGGATGGTTTTGACCATATTGGGCAAACTATTTTTGGTCTCTTAACAACAAAATACATAAAAGGAAAAATGGTTTAAAAGAAGCTTTTATCTCCGCCGTTAGTAGGACCGATTCTCAAAATTCGTATTAGACACAATATCTCATACGTATTCCACATAACATTTTCTTCCGCGACTAACAGCGATATCAGCTATACAGTCAATCCTTTACCTGCGGAGGGTCTGATCTGACAATCTGACAATATAGATGTCAGGGCCATTTATTACACAAAAATTAAATCATCAATGCAATTATCTTCATTCTATAACCAGTTTCCATGGCCGGCGAATAGTAAAGATAGCTACGAAAGTTGATTCATCTACTTATGCATACTCAAAGTCTATAATTTCAATTTTCAAATCAACAATAGTGTTTTGCAGTAATACTCATTCTTCTCTAGGGTTAGGGTACAAGGATTTTCATAGTCGTCGGATAATTAAGATATACCAGCAAAAGCTGACTCGTATACTATACACGTTGAATATTCAAAGTTCATCTGTCAGGGTCAATCTATTTGTTATTTTTATTCTCATATGTAGAGGGATACAAACAGTTGAATGTGTAGTTCCTGGCAAGGTCCACATATTGTTGCCATCCCGTTATTTTTTACTTCCCACGCCCACTCGTGGGGAAGTATTGTAGGTTTTGTAGGGGTTAAAAATTGGGGGTTAGGGGCTATAGAGGGTGGGGGAGGCTATATCAAATTTTTTTGACGTTGGTGTATTAATGCACTTCCTACTCCAGTAATTCTATACACCTATTAGAAATATTTCACTCATCATAGATGTCCCAGAACATTTACCTATACCTAGAAATATCTCCAACAGTCGTGTGTCGATACGTATGACGTGGTCCGGCTGATAGTCGTGCGTTGCAGTTAGCAGTCGCTTCCGTGCTGCTTGCTGTACACCAGCTATACACTATGTAAAAGTCAATATCGTCACCCACGCGGGATTAGTCATAGCAACGATCATGTGCGCCTGCAGGAATTTCTTTTTGGGGGAGGACAAAGGCCATTCAACTTCTTGTTATACATAATCGTACCTAACATCTGTCTCAGAAGGGATAACTTGTACCGAACATAATCCTTTAGGAACTGATGTCAGCGTTGCATGGGAAGTACAGACTCAACTTACTTGATGGCATTTTTTTAAATTCATTTGCAAGTTGCACTCTGGCGTGTTATACTTAATTATGTAGGTATCTGACATCTGTCTTCAGCGCGTATACGGGCATGCTTTTTCTAATAACGGCGGCTGAGTCAGCAGCCTTCATCTGTGTAATGCAGTAATTAACGAAAGTGACATCAGCAGCAGCAGCGTCCTTTGCACATTATCAGATTGTGGCGTTTTATACGCTACACGACGACGGCGGCGATGTGCAAACAGCAGGATTGGTTATTTTACAGCCTCGTATCACGACCGCAATCTTAGAGACAATAAGGATGCCCGCATGTAGGAAACAGTAAGTCACATTGTAGCACACTTAGTGAAAATATATAATAAATAGTTCTCATTCACCGCGAAATGTCCTATACAGGGTGGCCCATCCAGTTGAAGACGGAATATTGCTTCTAAGCAAAAACTTACCACATGTCCGTATTTTAAATGGAATACACTACTTTTTGTTACATATTCGGATATACCTCCCCTTTAAATAAAATGTCATGGGTTTAGATTATTAGTTGTCGAGCCATTGGGTATTTTATATAAAAAACACCAAACTTTGACAGCATCTCTACTACCTTGGGTATGGGAGTAGTGAATTTTGTCTCAAAAAAATTTAATATACTCAATTTTTTCCTAATTTATTTATTAATTTTGTGTATGTTCAATATGGGTTAGTCAAAAACACAAATGCTACTTCATTTCTAATAGATTAACGGAACACACCCGTGTAGTTTTAATTTTCGGATTCCACATTTTACAATATTTTCCCTGGGGTCCAGAGGTCTTGTATGACTAGTTTGTCAGTCATAGTTAATTCATTATTAAATAGGCTCGGCAATCTCGTAACAAGAATATAAAAATATCAGATCGTCCATGCAAATAAAAGACAAGTAGTGGATTAGTTACAATTCACCATAGAGAATGCAGGAAAAAGAAGAGAGTATATGTAGTATTTTTGGATATAAAGTACCCATACTAGAATATATTAAATCATCACTCACTGAAGTACCTTAATTTCAGATTGGACAGCAAAGGAATACCTTAGACCTTTAGAGCATATTCATTAATGAATGTACGGGGTTTGATGTGGGCTACTGACATCATCATTCCTTAATGTAGAATTTTTAACAAATTGCATATGTCGTAAGTTTATCAGCTCATACATGTTTTTACTTACGTGTGAATTAGGAAGATAATTTTATAATAGTCTGCTCATCTGCCAGGACTTTCCCACGATGTCCATATATTTCAATATAGCGGCAACAATGCCTTGTGTTCCCGTGCGGAAGCAACCTCTGGCTGGATGTTAAACTTCTTGAATTCGCCCATAGATTACTGTAGAAGACAATCATGGAGTCGTTCATCCATAGATGACGTACCTGACTGACAGTTATAGGGAAGAGGCGACGTTGCCAGATGGACGGTACTACCGGTAGTGCAGGGATATAATGTTTATGGTCTGATTGTAGGGGCCTCTTTGACTAACTTGATTCGTTTAATTTCTCTGTTATATACGGCGTAGAGTGCAGAGTCAGCCTACTTGGTGCCATTTTTCGTATATATGAACAAATTCATGTTGAGTTTTCCAAAATCTCTTTTTCCCTCATCTTTAAAGCGCATCTAACACAATAAACGTTGTTCGACGGAAAGTACGACAATTGCTATTAATTAACGAGTGATTTGCAATCTTGACCCCTTTGTTTATAGTATAGCTAATAGTTAGAAGATGGCGCAGGTGTGGCGTAAGATGCCTACCTACCATCTATTGGTTGAACGTACAGCCAAAAAATAGAAGCAGGGCATTTTCTTTCTGGGCTTGAGCGTTGTGTAGGGTATGAACTGAGAGTTAGATGGCGCACACGTATGTGTTTATTGACCGAAGTAATAGGGCACGCCGTGGAATATGTTGAGGTGGAATATGTTAATTAATGATACAAGATAATTCTTGATAAATTCTACTTCTGACGTGTCAGTTGTCTTGCTTCTGATAATAATCAGAATCTGCATATCATACATGGCTAAGGCTCCAACTGGGCTATCAATTAGTAATTAACCGATACCTATTTTCCATTCCATTTTTCATCCTTTTTACGTCTTCGAAGTTCGAACAGGATTTATTGCAGTATTTTAAATCTTAGATATATCCTTCGTTACCGATGATGCACCATAGGTAAGAAATTTTAAATTCATTATTGTTCTCCATATGAATGTAACCTTATTTACAACTTTCAAGTTAAATTATATACTTCGAAGTTGAGTCATTTATTTTAACAGTGAGTAGATCTGATCAAAAGAAATGTTTTTTTCCTTTACCATTTTTCTGGTAAAATTAAAGTAACAAAGTTATAGCCCTTTGGAAGTTTGAGTACCGCCCTGTCTCAATAATAATATCATGTACTCGTGTTTGGCAACAACGGATATAATCCGCCTTACCAGTTCATCGCATCGGAAACAAAAAAGCGAAAGAATTTGGAACGTTTTTGCAATTAAGTATTTTATTCAGTTCAGTTATACATACACTCAGTGTCTGTCGGTTAGCGTGTGAATAGTGTCTGTTGCGTGGCTCGAACGAAATAAAAAATGGCACATGTTTATGCGGATCGGTTTCCCAATCGAGTGCAACCAACCCCTCGTGCCTTTGTTAATGTAGTACAACGGGCTCGTGAATCAGGTGACTTAAGACCTCACAGGGGACCTCACGATCAAATACAGGTCCGCACTGAAATACTTGTCGGGAGGATACTTTATAAAACAAGGTAAAAATTTTTTTTTAATTTTTTTTCATTTTTACACACATATTCTGGTTTATCTTCCTTCTACAATCATTATCTGAAAATTAATGACTCAACTTCAAAGTCACCCTGTATAGTTCGAACTTTCATTAAAAACCTCGTCTCTCCATTAGCATGGGATACACCAGTGCGTAAAACCGCAGATACATGACAAGTCTCCATTGCTTCTTTGTTGTATCATCTATTCGGCCTTAAACGGATATCCGCAGGTCAGTTCAAGGAGGAACTAATAAGTATTAACAAGCGCTAATAACACTCCTCTACCGAATGTCGAGGGTATAAAGTATGTTAGGTTAATTTACTATTAAGAATATTCCTCATAAAGTGCTAAAATGTGGCACTGGTGACAAGAACAACTAGACTTTGGCTCAAGGCTTTCTGTGGTTCATTTTCAGTCGTTAAAGTCCATGGCTCAAAACGGACCATCTGGAACGACCAGTTGTACAAATTTCAATTTTATTGGATTTATTTACCACGGGCTATTTCGCCTATTCTTCCGGCAAAGCTAAATGAGAGAATAAACCCAGATGATAGAGTTCTTGGCATGGTCGAGTTTGCTTCAGGCATCGTGAGTAATAGTGAAGTTTATAGTGAAGATGGACAACGCAATCAGTTCTATGGATGTAATCGTTTTTGAGATTACCCGGCTACCATTAGCAAGACCGTTAGCAGAGATACGAAATCTCAAACAAATACGAAATTAAAATAAATTGATGCATTAGACCATAGTAAAGAAGTCCCTTACACTATTGTTTAGCTTTATTATAAAATCAAATATTTAAAAGTTTTATAAAACGGTTTTCTGATCCCGTTGGGTGTTGTGTGGTAATGCGCCTAGCCTAAAAAAAGTTCGCATATCGCCAGCTACCCTTCTGCAAACATATTCCGTTCGGGACACATTTTGT